GCCGCCGCGCCGAGCGCCCCCTCCCTTTAACCTCGCTCTGCCCGCGCGTGCGCGTGAGCCGCCCGCGCCGAGCCGAGCGCCCCTCCTCCGCTCCCTTCGCTCTGCCCGCGCGTGAGCGCGTGAGCCGCCCGCGCCGAGCCGAGCCCTCATTTCCGCTCCCTCGATGCCGCTCCCCGCGCGTCGTTCGCGCGCGCGCCCGCGTGGTCCTTGCTCGCGTCGCATCTGCGCCGCCCGGCCCCGCTGCCCTGCCGCGCCTGCAGCCGCTCGGCCCCGCAGCCAGCGCGCGTGCCCGAGCCGCGCCACTCCATCCGCCGCGCCCTCCCGTTGTTTCCCGCGCGCGCGTGCCGAGTGGCCGACCATCTGGTCGCCGCCGCCGTCACTCTCTGCCGCGCCAGCCCGCGCCTATCGCCCGTGTCGTCGCGCCGCTCCAAACCGCCCCGCCGTCATCGCCGTCGTCATCGCCTCGGCCCCGCCACTCCGCACGCAAGCCGCCAAGGGACGGAGGCCGAGCCCTCCTCCCTCTGCCGCGACGCCCCCGCTCCCCTCCTCCTTTTTCCTAAATCGGCAAGGGGGCAAGCCCCTTTCTCCCCCTCCTTTTTCCCCTTTTCCTCCCGCCGGCGTCATCCTCCCTCCCTCTGTCACCGTCTTGGCCGCGAGCGCCGAGTGCCAGCTCGCGCCTTGACCGCCCAAGGTCGGTTTTCAAACCGACATCGTCGTCCTATAAACCAAGGCGCCCTCCCATCCATTCCCCCTCCCGTTTCGCTCGCCGCCACCGCGCCATTGCCATCCCTCTGTTTCGCCGTCGCCGTTCGTCGTTGCGCGTGTCGGAGGAGCCGGCACGAGCAAGGACGCGGAAGGGGACTTCGGCCGCGCCCTCTCCTTCCTCTTCCCCGGCCCGAGGCCGGAGAGATTACTCCCGCGCCGTCGGCCTCTCGTCACTGCGCCCCGACCCGCACGGTAGTGCCTCTCTCCGTTCTTCCTCCTCGCTCCATCTTCCCCCCTTAGTTTTCGGTGGTAGCACGAGTAGCCTCCCCGTAGCTAGCCGGCGCCGCCCCGACCGTTGCCGTCGCTCGCCGTGTGCTCGTCGTCGTCGCCGCTCGAGCTCCGTAGCACCCGCTCGTCGCCAGCCTCGCTCGGCGTAGCTCCGCCCAATCCGACGCTAGCATCGGATTCCCGTAGCCGCGTAGATGCTCTCGCCGCCGGGAATCGGCCCCTCGTGACCTCGTCGCCGTTTTCCTCTTCCCTCCCCGCCGGTTGCCGCCGCCGCGATTCGCCGCCGTCAAGCTTCCTCCGGCGAATCCGAGCCGTTGGCTCGTCTCCCCTTATCTCGTGCAACCACCCGGTGTGCTCGCTTTCGCCGGTATCGCCGTGGTTCGCTCCGCCGCTCGCCGCTGTTGTCCGCCGTCCGTTCCGGCCGGCGTCGTCGTCTACCTCCCGCCGGCCCGCGTGGCAGCCACGTAGGCGCCACGTCGGCGCCAGCTCAGCCGAGGTCAGGACGGGCCGACCCCGGTCAGCCCCTCCCGAGCGCGCGTTCCACCGCAAGCCGTGAGGCTGCGCGTGGGCCCGCTGCATCCGTTCCTCCGCAGACCGCGCGTGTGCACCGCGTCCCTCCCCCGCCCGCGCGCGTGCGCCGCGTGCTCCCTCCGCACGGTGAGCCGAGCCGCTGACAAGCGGGTCCCACTCGGGACCGCGCACGGTGAGCCTGGTCTACCGGCCCTCTCTCTCCTCCCCTCCCGCGCGCGCGCACTTGGGCCGCCTTGGGCCGGCCGGCCCATTTAGCTCGTCCGGTCCGCTCCTTTTCCCTTGGGCCGCGCCCTAGCCGCCCGAGGAAAAGTCTATAATCCCTCCCTATTTTCTTTTCTTTTCTTTTTCTTTTCCAAAAAGGATTTAATTAAATCCTTTTCCTTTAGACCAAAAATCCAATAATCTTAGAAATTCAATATCTTCCCAACCGTAAATCCGTTTGACTCCGTTCAACTTCCAAAATTCCTCAAATCTCGAGATCTATCTAATGGCACGCTTAGAGGTCATTAATAGGGCTTTATTTTCGCCGTTTGTTGAGTTGTCCCGTTTCGCGTGTAGTTTCGGAGCCCGAAGACCCGCAGTGCGAGGATTTCGAGGATCAAGCTCCAGATCTCGAGCAAGGCAAGCCACCTTTGAACATCTTGAGCCTATATTTGAAATTTAATTATGTTGCTTGAAAAATATTATGCACTGATAGGATCGCACTTAATCTGTTGTCCCGTCTGCAAGGCAGATTGGCGGACTTACATAATTTGCTGCATTTGATCCTCCCTTTGTTAATTGTTATATCATGTCCCCTTGTAACCATCTAGTTGCGTCTCGATATCCGTGCATCCTGCGCGAGTATCGACGGACGCCTTCAAACTTAAAATCTGAAAAACTTCTTGGGTAAAACTTGGGTTTACAAAAGACTTGGAAAACCCGACACCTGGGTCGGTGCTTGCGAACTAAATGAATTTCCAAAACCGCGGACCGGGGAACGTACCGGGTGTACGGTTTCCCGCTCTCGCACTTAAGGACCATTTCCTTGGAATTTCATCCAAACATAAGACAAGTACGACCACATGGGTGGAATGGGACACCCCTGGCGGAGTAACTAGCTTACCAGGGGAGCCTTGATGCCGAGAGACATGTGGATTCGCCGGGCTGGTGTCGGGGAGGACCCCTGGGCTTCCTGGCACAGTATGGTCTGGGACCTAACCTGTTGTTGGTCTGGGACCCCTCTCGTCGGCATATGGTAAACCTGTGTCGGCTTTGGAAATGCCTTGTCATGAAAGCTTGGAGGTCTCCCGACGTGGCTGATCCCCACGGGCTAGGTGATCCGGGTTAGTAATGTCGTGTGGGTAAAGTGTACCCCCTCTGCAGAGGTTAACAAACTGTTCGAACAGCCATGCCCACGGTCATGGGCGGATGTGAGGTGATTCCTAGTGTAGTTTTCTTTGACTACCGCTTGTGAAATTGCTGTTGTGGAAAGGGGTTCGATGTTTGAAAGATTCTGCAGCTGATGGGATCAGCTAGGCCCGGGTGGCCGTTTGAAAGTTGTTGGCCCGGGTGGCCGGTTGAAAAGCTGTTGGCCAGGTGCCAATCTTGTGTCATTTCTAAAGATTGATACATTGCACATACTCCGACCGGACGAGACGCACTGTCTCATCCGTGTCGTTTGAGAAGCACTCACCTAGTTGTTTTCAGAAAGGAGTTCAAATAAAATCAATTGCAAAAACAACAGCCCTTCCCTTAAAGCCTGCATTAAACACTTATTTCCCATGGCTTGCTGAGTACTCCCGTACTCACCCTTGCTCTATATAAATAATCTCCCCCAGTTGCTGAAGAAGATGAAGCGAATCCTGCTGATGAGGAGTTCTTCCAGGAGCAAGCCGGCTACGATGAGTTTTAGGGTTTCGGCCTAGTTCCCAAGTCACGCCTGTATTGTTTGATCCAAGTCCTGGCTTCCATTCCCCTTTTGTAATGCAGTTGTGAGCTCGGGATCTGTCCGCAGCCCAACATGACTGTACCTCTACTCTATAATAAAGAGACCTCTGTTGCTGTGATAATCTGTCTTCCTGTGATACCAGCACTGTTTCCTGGGACTGGTATCGATTAACAGGTTAATTTGGAGCGTCACGGGCTAGTTCCAGTCGGTACTAGTTCGGGGCGTGACAGGACAGTCTGGAGTGGAGTTATGGTGCTGTCTAAATCTAGCTCCACAACTCTAGTTCATTTTGTGAGAGAGCTTCATCCAGCTCCACTCCCAGTTTTGGTGGAGCTGAAACTGTTTGGCTGAGCTCCAGCTCCAGGAGGGGTGGAGCTGGAGCTGGAGCTGTACCAAACAGGCCCTAAGTTAGGTCTGGAGTGGAGTTGTGGAGCTGCCTAAACCCAGCTCCACAACTCTAGTTCATTTTGTGAGAGAGCTCCACCCAGCTCCACTCCCAGTTTTGGTGGAGCTGAAACTGTTTGGCTGAGCTCCAGCTCCAGGAGGGGTGGAGCTGGAGCTGGAGTTGTGCCAAACAGGCCCAACTCCTAGAGCTAAATTTAGGAGTTGGAGTTGTATCAAACAGGTCCTTAGTATGAAAATCTGTCTTTAATGACAACCTGAAGCATACTTTTTCTTTCTAACAAAATTTCTTCAGATGCTATTTGTGCACTGTAGATAATTGGGCTACAATAGACTGTTTGATGCAAAATGACACATCGAAACAGTCCGAAAACAAGATACTGGTAACAAAGGAAGATATTTTTATCAAATTTGACCCAAAAAAAAATGTCAAATGTATCAACCCCCAATGTTGATTTGCTAAAACCTGAACATTTTTGCTGTGACTACAAATCCTAAACAACTACTCAATCAGTAGGCAGGATCCACAATTACTCTGTGGGCCGCTGGAAGCTACAAGAACTCCACCATTGCCATCTCTCACGTTGGAAATCTTAGACGAACGCGTCGCCATCATGGCCTGGGAAGAACAGGGAGATTTGCAATAATGACACTACAAACATTGACATTTGCTATACACAAACCGGCTCTCATCCGCCGAGCACGACGCCGCGAAGTAGCACTGAGCCATGAGGATTCTGCTGCAGGAACGTGGTTGCGGCGGCGGTGTCGCGAACAAGAATCCGCCCCTGCGGCGTCACCCACGATTTGCTGCTCGTCAGGGCGGCAATGTCGCGGCCACCTTCGATTTCCTTCTCATCGGAGATGCTGAAAATTCTCGGTTTTTATCTTGCTGCAAGACGAGGCAAGGCTGAAGCGGATCCATCAAATCAAAATTATTGTCTGAAAATGCTCGAGGGTGAGGTGGAAATCTCTCTCTCTCTCTCTCTCTCTCTCTCTCTCTCTCTCTCTCTCTCTTGTGGCAGATCAATGGATGGAGAAATTGACCTTGTTGAATTCTCGCATATATGCGGAAGCAACCAGAGTACAACTCGTTTTCGAGTTCGTCTCCACGATCAGCAACAAGTAAGAGAACCTATTCAAATGGATCAATCCAATAGCCAATCAATCAAATCACTTGTCTGGGCGCTAATTGCGAATTTGTGATTACAAATTTTGGATTCGAACCCATTTTACCAAAAGAAAAAAAGAAACACATAGATTGTGATTACAAATTATCACACTGAACTCAACATGAAGAACAACCAAATTAACCACTTCATGTACACCACCGCGGCACGAACAGTACAGTATAGCAAGAAAAAGAAATGAGCCGATTCAGCAGCAGCAGCAGCCGAGGCTGATCAGACGAGATTCTCGGGGCCGTCCTTCTTCGCCGTGAACGGCTCCGGCGGCGGCGCTCCGACGCCGGGCGGCGGCAGCGGCGTGCCGTAGACCTGGGCGCCGACGCCGGTGCGCATCTCCTCGCGGCCCTTGTGCTTGCCGAGGAAGTAGCAGCCGAAGCCGAGCAGGATGGAGAAGAAGATGAAGGGCAGCGAGATCACCAGCACGAACCCCATCTCCTCCTCCTCCTTCTTGGCTACCACCTCTCACAAGCTCCTTATGGCGTCAATGGCGTGGCGAGGTGAGATCCAAGAAACAGAAGAAGCTTGCGAGGCAGGTGGAGAGAAGAAGTATCTGTTCTTTGCTTTGCGTTGCTCTTGCCTTGGGAGACGAAGCTGGCAGGGGAAGGAGTTGGTGTATAAATAGGGGAGACCAGCCATGGATGGAAGCTGGTAATCTGCGGGGTGCAGCAGAGGTTGAAGAATCCTATGGAAGAAGGCAGATGGAAGCTTGTGGAGTTTGCTACTGTGACAGTGTACCTCTTCCTCTGGTGACCGTTGGCTTGGAGCCTCTGGCCCAACGGTCGGATGCAAAGCAAAGCAAGGAAGCTTGACTTCTACTACTTGAAAATAATAGTATTTTCGTGTGTTTTTCTTAGAGAAATTTTTTTTTTGTGTGTGTTTTTCTTTAGGGGAAAGAGAACTTTGGTTGGGAAATGACGGTGGACAAAATGGATTAACCTTGCAGTCAAAAGTTCAGGGTGGACACTTCAAGATCTCCAAGCAGTAAACAGTTTTTTTTGTTTTTTTTTTTGCTTTTTTGGTCTAATTAAGAATCTGATTCCCTCAAAATAATTAAGCATTTGTTCGTTGCTTTTAAAAGGTAGATTATGTATACACGCGTAATCAACCAAGTGGTTCTTCCTCCTTTCTTTTCAAACTGCGAATGATGCTTCTATAATTATCTACACTCTTCTTTGTGACTTTTGCCATTATCTTGCATTACTCTTTTTTTCCGGAGAACTCAATGCTCTAATAATACAATTCACAGTTGTTGTTTGTAAAAGGCAATGGTCTGCAGCATATATGAAATGTACTACTATATCAGTACTACTGTATTTTAATTCAGACCAGGAAAATTTTCAGCACTTCAGTCATCAACTGGACAAGCTCAGTTGATGAGCTCCACAAGGTGTGGTTCGAAGCCTTACCTCTTTTAATTATTTAATATTATGTCATTCCTTAATATTTATGTTTTTTTAGTCATCAACTAGGCAACGATGTATGAACATACAGTATGGCTCTGTTCGATACTCACTGTTGGGAACGGTTTCCTACAGCACGGAAAACGGAGCAGCGATTAGCGGTTGATTAATTAAGTATTTGCTATTTTTTAAAAAAATGGATTAATATGATTTTTTTAAGCAACTTTCGTATAGAATTTTTTTTTACAAAAAACATACCGTTTAACAGTTTAAAAAGCGTGCGCGTGGAAAACGCGGGAGGGAGGTTGGGAATCCCTGGTAACGAACGGAGCCCTATGTCATCTCAAGAGATCAAAATCATGAGCTTTACATGATACGCTACAGGGCTTTAACATCGAGTTAAGTGACTTGAGCTTATTCTGTCAAGAAAATTTCTGAAGAAAGTGCATTACTGTATACTCTGACGAAGTCTGAGATCATGGAGCCACAGCAGGGGAGCAATCAAGCTTGGTCCAAGGGTTGCCATTCGTTTGCTCTCCCGGCTAGATAACTAATCCTATGTGATTTGCTAGAGAAAAGGACGAGAAAAGATGTAAGGACTCAATGAAAGTTCAGTTGAATCAGCTGATATTGGCAGATAATTTCATCCACACAGGTAGCTGATATTGGAAACATGCATGACTAGGGACATGCACTACTTAGGACATATAAACTTTACAGAGTCTCATCTCATGCTAAACCAGCAAAGCTTGTTGAGATAATGGGGCCAAGGTGCACTCAGTTTGAAAATTTTCAGTAGTTCTTAATTGAGTTTGAAAATTTTGAGAAACAATTTCAACTAAAGGATTGCTAAACTGTTCAGATTGTGCTAAGTGGAGCCATGAATCACACCAATTCATGAAGCTCCTGATTCTTCTCCTTAGCATGTGAAAATCCATCTCAGGGACACCTCAAACATTGAACCTTTTCTTTCCAACAAAATTTATTCCAATGGTATTACTCCCTCCGGGTTGATATTACTTGTTGTTTTGGATAAGGACACGGTCTTCAAAAAATAACTTTAACCATTATTTTCCATTATAATATGTATAAAAGTATTAACAAATATATGATTTTTTAAAGTAATTTTTAAGACTAATTGTAATCACCATATTTGAAAGACAAATATTTTAAAAATAATTTATAATCAATAATTCTAAAGTTTGACCTTATGGGCTTATCCTTATTAAAACGACAAGTATTATCAGTCCGGAGGGAGTAAGTATAATTGTATAATGTAGATAACTGTGCCAAAATACAGTTTGACACCTTGATGCAAAATGAAAGATTGGAACGGTCAAAATCCAAGATTAACAAGAGTACTTTTATAGGCTACAATATGATTAAAAAAACACAGCGATCAAATTTATCGATATGGTCTTTTTCTTTTGAACGAGTTATCGATATGGTTCTGAAGCCTAAACCTTTTTGCCATGACAAAAGAGAAAAAAAAACCTAAACTATATATGGATCAGTGGGCAGAATCCACAATGCCCTGTGTACCGCTGGAACATCAACGAAATCATCCCATCCATCTTTCACGCTGGACATCTTCAAGCACGTAGGCACCTCATCATCCCCAGGAACGAACGCGTAGACACAATCCTCGTGCAGCCCAAGCTCACGGGCCGAACACGTCGCGCCGAAATACCACGGAGACAGCAAGAACGCGCCGACGGCGAGGTCACCGGCCGTGCGCCACCGCGGCGGCTGCTCGGAGAAATCCATCCTGTAGACCCGGGTCTCGTAGCCCGTCTTGTCGCAGCGAAAGCCGCGGTACACCAGCATAACCATGTACAGATCCTCGCCGGATTCCACTAGGAATACCTTCGCCCTGTACACGACCTCGAACTCTCCGGCGAGCTCGAGGGAGCTGAACACCGGCGATGTCGATGTCGCAGCGGCGGAGGGAGAGAACTCGAGCACGCCGATGTCGGAGAGTGTACCGTTGAAGTAGAACTTGCCCCGGCAAGCGGCGATCGAGCATATCGGCACCTTCTCGTGGTCCTCGCCGTCGATGGGCGGGTCCAGTGGCTGCGTTCCGATGTCGTACTCGTGCCTCGTCCACTCGCCGTCTTCCTCGCCGACGTGAAGGTACCAGATGACGGTGGCGAATGGCTCGACGAGCAGCGCGACGCAACCAGGGATCGTCGGCTTGCCGGAGAGGACGCAGGTGGACTTGCTCGGCAGGTCCTCGGGCAGATGTGGCAGGTGAATCTTGTCGCCGGGATCACGAGGATTCTGCAGGAACGTGGTGGCGGCGGCGGCGTCGCGGACTAGGATCCATCCCTGAGGCGTCTACCATAGTTTTTTCTTGTTGTTGGTCAGGCTGTCGATGGCGCACTCGATCTTCGCCTCCTCGAATATGTCGAAGAATGTCGGCTTTGGCGTGTCCGCGTCTTCGTACAGGGCGAGGCAGGGAAAAGGGAGCGGATCCATCAAAATACCAAAAATACCGTACTCTGAGCACCAAAAAAGCTGTGTGAATTCCACGCACACGTTCGCTGGATCAGATCGATGTTTGTTGGTGAAGAAATTAGTCCTGTGGCTATCTATCTCTTATGTAGGCGAAGAGTGCATGGGCAGGAAGAACGAAGCCGAGTACAAACAGCCCCAGCCGTCGGAGTCGGATTTTGAGTCTCAGTCTGCACGAACCGCAACCGAATTGGATTCCTCCTACACAGTAAATCAGAACCTGACGAGTTTTTCAAACAACTAAACGGTGTGTGTATATATATGTATATGTATATACACGCGCGCGAAAATTGTTTTAAAAAATCATATCAATCTATTTTTTAAAAAAATGCTAATAATTAATTAATCACATATTGATGGATCGCTCTGTTTTACGCGTTTAAGAGGGATTTGTTCCTAACCGCAACAGTCAAACGCAGCCTAATTGTATTTTCTCAACGTGTATTAATATATGACTGTGCATTCTTCATCTTAATTTTTGTTCTTTCTATTTCACTGAATCGAAGAGGTGCATCCGTACGGAGGTAGACAGCATTGACATGTAGACATTGATAAATGGCAGTACTAAAATGGTTGAATTACTGATGCCCCGCAAAAAAAAAATACTGATGAAAGATAAATCTTGGCCAATAATGCTAGAAAAATGACATGTCAAACATAAAAACTGGTTGCTATGGACCATCCAAATCTAATATATTCCCAAGAGATTAGAGATAGATCTGATGACTGTACATGTCGTCTACTAAGATATTCAATTGAACCAGAAGCTAGGGATGTCATTAATCAAGAAATTCAGGTTGGACATGGGATGCCTGAATCCTGATAGTATATTATAGTATTGTATTGTTTGATTTCTCATGTGCTGACATGTCAAAAACAGCTCTCCTATTCCAACGGTTTGACACGACCAATAAAGTTTTTTGATCATATCTTCAGGAGTTCAGGGATAATGGAGTCATCTAGAATATCCGTACAGGATGTACTTTGTCACATTAGTCGTTGCTCTCCGACTCTATATAAACTACTCCTTTTAAAGTGCATGAAAATGACCATATGATTACTTTAGTTTGCATTTAGTCCCATTGTTTTCAGCAATTGTCAATCTTTCATATTGTTTGGTAGATCCTACTCTCATTCATTCAACAGCTACTACATGATGGTAACCAGAAGACAAATGCATAGGACAATATAAAAAAAATGTTCATGGCCAAACCAGTAAGATCACCCACTGAAATCATCTGCATTGCAAGTTTGCAACTTGAAAAACCTTTGCTTATATATAAGCAAGGGAGGATCAAGGTGCATCACCATTTCTCCAACTAAGAAACATTAGGTAGGGAGGATGGGGGAGATCTTCTCAGTTCATCGAGGGCGCATCCCGGTGCTCGTCGGCGAGGGGGAGGAGATGAAGAGGGTAGTGATCCACATGGAGGAGCTTCACCACCCTTACTTCTTTGTGTTGCTGGAGCTGGCAGCAATGGAGTTTGGGCATGAACAGGAGGGCGTTTTAAGGATCCCTTGCAGCATCGAGCAATTCCAGGCAATCGTTGAGCTCATCAGAAGCAGCATGTTGAAGGTGAAAATGGCGTGCCTCCTTTCAAGATGTTGATGGAGAACTGGGGAGGGCGAGAGATGGTTATCAAGGAATTGCCGGCTGCCTTCTGCGTGTTCTCGATCGTCCTGATCTTTTGGTATCAGCGGTTTAGAACTGTGATTGATAGCTACTACTAAATGTTGGAGGAGTTTTGTGTAGCTTGTACAGGGATGATCCCTAGTCATCTAATATGATGATAACCTGCCATGTGCAAAGTTTTTCTTGGGCATTATTTTGTCACGTGTTACGAGCTATGATTTCGGTTTCGGATGATTATTGCATATCACTTCTATCCTAAACTATCCTAAACTATAAGAGATTTCACTCATGTAAGGAGGGCAAAACCCTTGTTCTGTAGAACCAAGTTAGTAATCCCTCATTCCCTAAATGTTTGACGCCGTTGACTTTTTTAAATATGTTTGACCGTTCGTCTTATTCAAAAAATTTTGTGCAATATGTAAAATTATATATATACATAAAAGTATATTTAACAATAAATCAAATGATAGGAAAGAATTAATAATTACTTAAATTTTTTGAATAAGACAAACGATCAAACATTTTTTAAAAAAGTCAACGGCGTCAAATATTTTAGGATGGAGGGAGTAGGACAGAATAGCCTGCGGTGTACAAAGTTTTGTCAGACATTTTCTTCATCAGAATTACTACTGCTTTGTCTTGTTTTTTTAAACAAAAGAGAGTGCATCTTATCGAATTGAACAGGTTCGATAAAATTGTCCCCCTGTGGCCTTGTGCACAGCCAAACGCCTCTGTACGACACGCGAGAGATCCAGGTACGTTGCAAGAGAAACAATTGGCTGGTTGGTAGCCAGGTCCAGGTAGGTAGACCAGATCGTAGCGATGGCGTTTTACACGGAACCAAGTGGCCGCCGCCGCACGACACAAGGGAAAATGACGGGTCAAAAACACTCAAAAAGCCGAGAACGAATGTTTCTTAAGAGTACTGACCAATTCAGTAGAATTACAGTATCATGCAGGTTGGTGGCCATAAGGTGATTCCAGCTAGCATAATGTTCCAGAATGACACGAGACAACGAGAGGCAAAGCGACAAAAAACATGTAGGACAATCCACACCCAGTAATCCATATTAATACCACAATATAAGAGTTTGGGAGAGGGTGTTTCATACGTTTTACAGGCTCTGAGACCTCATACGGGTAAATCTCCGACAACACTCCATCTGCAGCTAGAATCATGCAGGCAAGGCTAAACGATGATGATGATGATGATGGTGGGGATACGTTTTACAGGAAACATGGATATCTTTCTTATTAACAATAGTATCGCAAGGGAGCATCACTGATAGGATGAATTTGCGTCTTGACTTGAGATTCGCAGGTGATCGATCATCAGGGCCAGGGCCTTAATGAGCCCGCTCCCGGAGGACCTCAAGGTCTACCTCAGTTGGGTCGGTTGCCTGGATCTCGTAGTGGAATCCATCAAGTTCTTGCTTGATGCGATCCTTGGAGGTGGAGTACAGCATCTTAGCACGGATCCGGGATGTTGATGGAGACCTGATGCAATATATCAGAAAGTAAGCAAAGATCTGTATATCAGGCATGTAAAAGTTATAAGCGCCTTTCAGATCAGATACTAAGCTCCTAAATACTATATTGGATTACCAACAGCAAGTACAAACCAAAGAAGGTTAAGACTGTCATCACTTCCAGATTCTTATAGCAAAGATCTAATCAGTGTTCATAAATGCCTTTATTAACACAGTAAGGAGCCAATGATATAAAACACTGATGATTACTTGTGTCCCTCCTAAAGTGCCCCCAACTACTTTTACTTAAGACTAAACAGGATTATGGTAGAGAACCACTCCAGCTAATGTAGCTGCTATATGTATAGCATAACAAAGTGGATTTGTGATTAGGAAGCTCACCAGGCGATGAAGAAAATCTTGCTCTTTTGCACATTCTCCCCAGTAACAAAGTCAAAATCATAGAGGGCATATCTGCAGTCATTTTCTGGGAGAGATGCCAGGAAATCATCATAACTCTCAGTTGTTGCCCCGGTCTTCTCCACAACAACTTGCTTTTGCTTTTCCTCGATTTTGAAGATAACATAGCGAAATGCTTTCTTCATCTGAAGCTCAAGGAATGTGTCCCTGATGTCAGGAGCAACCCCCATACCGGAGGATGCATTGGACTGCAAACATAATTACAGACACTTGAGAACATGATCAATAAAAACAAGACCTAATAATAAGAGAAACTGTTCAAAATTCAACATCACATGTCAATTCAGTATTCAAGTAAAAAAAAAGTGAAGTAAACCTACATAGAAGCAAAGACCATTCAAGATAAATCTTATTTAGTGTGATAGAGTGGTGCTAAACTTTCAGAATCACATTGTAAACTTGTAAGAAACCATGAGATTGCTAACGCATTCTGCGCATCATTGAGCCCTGAACATCCACATGTGCCAATGGCAAAATATGTAACACTCATATTTGGTATAACAAACTACAATATCAGTAATCGACTTGTTGTAAAATTGTTAACAGTAACATAACTTGGCTTGCGTATATTTTTTTATGCTTGGCCACAGCTCATAGGCAGTAAAAGAACATGCTCACACAGAAAAAATGCACAAATATTTAAATCAAATAGCACAGAGGCCCAGGACCCAGGGTTGACAAAATGTGTTGAATATGCATCTATTAGGATAATACTAAGATATTAAAATTTAAGAATCATATGTAAATTACATGGCTGGAAATTTGATATTTGGGCATCATAAAAACTTAATTATACAGGTTATTCTTTAATTAACTCAGCCACACCGAACCTAAAAAAAAACACAGCTGTGTAGTTGTGTCAGGTTAACTTGACCATTTTTGGCCTTTTAACCTGGCAGACTAAAAATATTGGTGTTCTAAAACTAGGACTTACAAAGATACATACAAATGAATGGGTACCCAACCTTGTAGGGCTTAAGCCACATAAGCGGTCAATTATGCTGTACAGGCTATACAGGGTGGGTGACCGCAGAAATAAGTCTCACTACTTTTCAGAACTCCACAAAAATCCTATAATTGAAGAGGCATCTTCCAAATATCTCTGATGTGGAAAAATATTGTTCTACCCTGATAGGCAGTCACTCAACAAGGACGCAAACTTTTAACAGAAACGATAGCATAATTCATTATTTAGAAGTCATAGATTGTTTCAATTGACTCAAAAATACTTTCGTATAATGCCTAATGTACCTGGTGATCCAACGCCGACATAAATAAATCCAAGTCAAGTGGCTGCTGAAGAACAATGCCTCATTCCCCGCCCACAAAACCAAACTATTATCTCGTGGATACTTTCCACAACGTGTTTTCTTTCATTTCTAAGTCTCGCCTATTCCCAATCAGTCCCTTTCATTTCTGTCTTGCCTATTCCCCGACCAGTTTCTAATGCATTACATACCATCGCTCCCTACTGCACCATCTCACAAATATATACACTAAGATAATGAGAGAAATCATATAATTGCAGTCAAAACAGAGAAACCGTTAGGCATGCAATCTGACCACGAGGAATCTAAAACACTAAACTTCAAATACAGTAACCAACTTTATCTAATCCCAAACTAGCCATAAACAATTTCACATAATCACCCCTTAAAACCTCTCATCTACCTGCTAGCCAGAACCGTCCACAAATCACGTCATCAACCACACGAAACCAAAACGATCTCCATAAATCCATCGCGGCACACAAAGAAACTCCTCCCACGCCAGTGGATCTCACGTTTAGCCGTTAGATGAAACCCATTCGACCGGATCCGAACAACACACCGTGAGAAGGATCACGAGGGGGCCCTCGATCCAGACCACGCAGATCTAAACCACCCCCGCCGCCGCCGCCCGCAGGCACCACAACCAAAACGGACCGCCGCCAACGAACCAGAGCAGAATAGGGAGGAGGAAGAGGAGGAGATCAACTCACGTGGGAACGCATGAACGCCATGGGGATCGGAGCCGGAGGAGGAGGAGGAGCGCCGCGCCTCTGCTTCGATCGCACGCAGACTCCGGAGAAGAGAGGAGGACTAGACTACTTGAGGAGGAGGCAGATGATTCGGTTGCTGTGCGCGAGTTTTATTTTTTTTTCTTCCTTTTTTTTTCTCTCTTTTTTTCCTTTTCCGCCTTCGCGAGTTGGGCGGCGTCTTTTGGTGTGGAGAGGAAAAATTCGCGAGGAAGGGGCGCGTTCATATATAGTTGTGGAGGCGGGGAGTTGCACGTCGCGTGTGGGATGTTTGTGTCACTGACAGGTGGGGTTCATGTAATGTGGGGGCAGGGTGTCAGTGGCTGGGTTGGGTGAGGAGGTGGGGGGATTGAGGAGACGTGGGGTTTGGACGGCGGTGAAGGGCTAATCCAACGGCTGGGATGGGGTCGGGTTGGCTGGCTCTGACTGAGTCTGTGGGCCCTTTGCCAGAGGCGTGATGAGTTGGGAAGTGTTTGAAAGGGTGACTTTTTGGGGAAGAATAAAATGAGGAGGAATTCGAATGGAAAAATGGGGAAAGGAGAAATGTAGGGACAACTTCTTCAATATACAGTTTTACACGCCTGTTGATATATAAGTTAATTGTTTCATTACTTGTTCAGAAGGATTGATGGTTTTACACGCGTCCATATAATTGAACTCCTGACTTATGACTTAAAAAATATTTTCAAAATTTTAAATGTATAGAAATCCAACATATATTTATTCACGTTTAATATTTATATTTCTCTTCTATAATATACTCCTGGAGTATGTGTTTTGGTTTCTGGACTGTTTTTTTAGTTAAATTATGTTTTGTGGTTGATAAAAACGATTGCAATATGTCCCGTGTGATTTAATGAAGTATTACCAACAAAATTGTTGAGAATGAAACGAGAGGGAGAGAGATGAGTAATTCTCATTGATCAAATGTTTAGTTTATACATAGGGAAATGGTTTCAATCAGAGGACGTGATGGTTGGGTGTGAGGAGTGTCTGAGAGACCGAGGATGTGCGACTAAGGCCTTGATCCCAAAAATTTTGGCAAAAAACATCACATCAAATATTTAGATATATGTATAGGGCATTAAATATGGGGAAAAAAATCAATTGCACAGTTTACATATAAAATGCGAGACGAATCTTTTGAACCTAATTACGCCATGATTTGACAATGTGATGTTACAGTAAACATTTACTAATGACGGATTAATTCAGGGGTGGATCTCAAAAAAATAGTAGTGGGGGCTGAATAAACTACATCAACATAAATTGAACCTTCAGTCCACACATCCTATGAATATATGGAAAAAAATTAGTGGGGGCTTTGGGGGGTCTCTGTCCCGGGGCGGTACTAGGGTCTCAAGACCCCCATTGTGAATACGCCCCTGAGTTAATTAGGTTTAATAAATTTGTCTCGTAGTTTACATGCGGAATCTATAATTTATTTTGTTACTAGTCTACGTTAAATATTTTAAATGTGCGTATGTATATTTTAAAAATTTTACACTCAAACACACCCTAAACCGCTGTGGTTCCTTGCGGTAGAGTAGAAGGGTGAGGTGCCTATTCACTGGGTCAATCCCATCTAATGATATGGATGAAACCATCCAAAAAATCGTAACACTTCCTTTGACTGAATCCAACATTTGATCATTACTCACTTATTATTCACTTATTATTGTTCTACATACATGTTAAGAGAATCTTAGAAATAATATTTAATATTTATATTTTTCTTATATACAAGTCATGATATACTTTCGGAGTATGTGTTATGGCTTCCGGACCAATTTTAAGTTCAATTTTAAGGTAGGAGTATTAGCAACAAAACAACTCCATTCCTTTAGCGACAGACAATTCAAAAGCCAAGTTCTCAAAAAAAAAAATCAAAAGCGTGTAAACCGTTTTTACCATGAAAATATCTCCGATGATGCAAGACTCGCAGGCGGGCCCGATGGCGAGCCGAATGCCTCTCCAAAAGGGTTACGTGGGACCCATTCGTCGGTCGAAAAATTCAGACGGCCTAACATTACTATGGGCCCGTACGTCATCCACCGAGCGCTACCCGCCAAATGTTAGCCATAAACCCTGAGCCGTTCACGTTTCCCATCCCATTCTCATCATCCTCACCCTCCCCCGCGCCGACCCCCCGCCGCTGCCGCCGCCGCCGCTAAAACCCTAAAACCTCCAACCTCACCCATGGCGGCGAGCAGCGCCGATCTCGCCGACGACGGCTTCCCGGCGCCGCGCCTCTTCTCGCAGGGCGTCTCCTACACCTACGACGACGTCATCTTCCTCCCGGGCTACATCGGGTTCCCGGCCGACGCCGTGGACCTCTCCACCCGCCTCTCCCGCCGCATCCCCCTCTCCATCCCCTGCGTGGCCTCCCCCATGGACACCGTCTCCGAGGCCGCCATGGCCGCCGCCATGGCATCCCTCGGCGCCGCCGCCGTCGTCCACTGCAACACCGAGCCCCACCTCCAGGCCTCCATCGTCCGCGCCGCCAAGTCCCGCCGCCTCCCGTTCGTCTCCTCCGTCCCCTTATTCTCCCCCGCCTCCACCCCATCCCTCTCCGACTTCGCTGGCCACGACTACGGCCTGGTCACGGAGCGCGGCGATTCGCTCTCCAAGCTCGTCGGCGTCGCTGTTGCAGCCGAGACCTCCTCTCGTCAGGCTCCCCTCCCTGTCTCCGAGTACATGCGCCCCGCCCCGCGCTCGGTGTCCGCCTCTTTTGATTTCGAGCAGGCGGCCGCCTTTCTAGCGGACGAGGGTTTGGATTATGCCCCTCTTGTATCCGATGATAGCGAGGTAATCGACCTCATCACTGTCAATGATGTGGAGCGCATCCGGAGCTATCCGAAGCTAGGCAAGCCGTCTCTTGGAGCGGACGGGAAGTTTGTTGTTGCGGCTTCCATTGGGACCCGTGAGGATGACAAGCGAAGGCTGGAGCAGCTAGTTAAGGCAGGGGCAAATGCGATTGTTGTAGATAGCTCGCAGGGGAACTCTATCTACCAGATTGATATGATCAAGTATGCAAAGAAGATGTACCCGGAAGTGGACTTGATTGGAGGTAATGTGGTGACGATTGCGCAGGCACAGAATTTAGTTGCTTCTGGGGTGGATGGATTGCGTGTTGGGATGGGCTCTGGCTCAATTTGCACTACCCAGGAGGTTTGTGCCGTGGGCCGAGGACAGGTAAATGCTCGATAAAGTTCCCATAAATTTTTTCTTCCTGAGTTTTTAAATTCAATTACACAATACATTCAACCTTCTGGAGAATTTATTAGTTATCTAGTTTGTGGATCCTCTGCCATGTATAGGATGACCAGCATGCCCGTGCTGCCTCTTGTTCTGAGAACCATCTGATGCTTTTGTTTTAGAGTTAATTGCACTTTGGTCCACCTTTTATTACCAAAGTTTCACTTTGGACTATTCTCTAGCTCATATTTTCACTTTGGACCAGGTAAGATTACCTTTGGTGCACTTTGGACCACCCCAAGTCATTTTCTTTAGCTGTATTTACTCTATAAATGTTGTAAAGAATTACCTGCGTAAGTTGGAAAAGATTACTGGGTTACGGGTTGCTGATGTGTTTAAAGTTGGAACAGTCTTTTATGTATTCCTAAAAAAGTTTATGGGGGTGGTCCAAAGTGAAAGAAAGGTAAAGTAACCTAGCCCAAAATGAAAAAATGTGTTAAAGGGTGGTCCAAAGTGAAACTTTGGTAATAAAAGGTGGCCCTAAACGCAATTTACTCTTTGTTTTATTTAGAGGTCTGGTAACGAGACAGAAACATTGTTTGGTTACTTGTATCCCCACTTTTCCACAATCCCGTGCCGAAAGTGTGACAAACTGCAGATTTTGTGTCTCAAAATTGGTCACCACACTTGTGGCCTATTTTGGCTATGGAGAGAGTTGATGACAAGTGGGGCTAAAGGGTTAGAAAGTGTGGCACACCGTAGTGATAGTAACAAACCAAAAGCACCAGCCATATTTGGTCAAATCCACCTAACTGATGTGCGACAATACTTGGCAGCCATCCAAATAGGCCCAGAATCTGATGCCTTACTAAAATTTCTAATCCTTCATCTCTGCCTTGCTATCCCAAGCATCTAAACTAGATTCTGATGCCTTGCTCTAATTTATAATCCTTCCTCTCTGCCTTGTTATCCCAAGCATCTATCCAAGCATCTAAACTAGTTGGATGCTTCGTCTCTGCATTGTTATCACAAGCATCTAAAGTTCTAAACTAGTTGGATGATCTATAGCGTCTTCCATTTCCACCAACACTCAGGAGGATATGGATATCCTGTTTCATATTTTTAGATGGCACAAAGTGAGAATGAGTAGGTGTTAGGTTCTTCTTGTTTAATTAGGCTGGGTTGTCCAGACGTTACATTTTAAGTGTGAACTTTGTGTTAGTTGCTACAACCTCCCATTCATACCCGTGGAACCTGGGCATTATGTTGTTTACGAGATTTTGTTCTGTGATGTATTGAGACCTTGTCCAGCTCATTCCTTTTCTGCTGTTTTTAGACCTAAACTTGAAATGAGGTTTGTATAATAAGTGGATCATGGGACATGTGGCGGATACAAATGTTATAGGGATACAACAAATATGGTATATATATGGTATATATCGTATACCAAAGAATTTTGGCACTGCTGTGTGCTGCATGTGTTTGATACTTGTTTCTTGCATTTCTGTGCGACAGGCTACAGCAGTGTATAAGGTTGCATCTTATGCCAAAGATCACAATGTGCCAGTCATTGCGGATGGTGGAATTTCAAACTCTGGACATATTGTGAAGGCTTTGTCTCTGGGGGCATCCACTGTTATGATGGGTAGCTTCTTGGCTGGCAGCCATGAAGCTCCTGGTACTTACGAGTACAAGGTATTCAATTTTTTAAAGCTTCTGCAGGAATTTTTAGGTTCAGCATGTGATTTTATTTCTGATATGCTTTTACCATGCATAAACTATTTTGTAGTTCTTTAGCAATGTCTGTCTGAGTCTGTACAACCGTACGTATTGAATTGATACTTTGAAGGACGACCCACATGCCATGCACATGCAAATGTACATCCCATGTGACCACTGCAATGAAAACATGCTATCAATGTTTAGGCAATATTTTGGTCTAATTGATGCCATAAAAGTGCTAATCAGGCCGTCATAAAAGTTCCTATATAAGATGATTGTGTGTTTAGATATGTTGCTTCTGAATATTTGCTTCATGGATGACAATATTAGTAACATGGCTGCTGAAAATCACAGTTTTTTAAAACACAACAAACCTAGTAGCGAGAGACACTGAGACAATTTGCCTCCTGTGCTTTGTATGAGATTGCTCTGTCTGAACCAATTGCCAGCACATATTCTGTTAAGTGTAAATACTAGATATATGTGTGTTCTATTGGTCTTTCACATCACTCTTGGTGATCACAATCTGTGTGCCTGAAGTATTCATGTTAGTTCTTAATTATTTCTGCAAGTGCAACCAGTGGCATGGCTAGATTGTTCTAGCTAGTTGTTTTAAGGTCATATCTGGTAATTAGAAACCATTGTTTTGGATAACCACTCTTATTCTTCAATGATGCTTTGGGTGAAACCACACCTTAGCATTTTCCATTTGCAGATGTTTCAGTAAATTTGACCTGCTTTAGGATTATTACTACAATATACTAGTAAAAATGGGGTGATAAGCTGCCAATATATTAGTAGCTATTATTGTCCTATCTTAGATTGCCAATGTGATGCATGTAGTTGATAGGATCATGTAATTTAATGGGCAACATTAATCCTTAAAATATTTTGAATTATTATAATTAAGATGTCTTCAGCATTTTCCTGTGTCATTTCTAGCACTGTGTCGTAGAAGTGGGTTTTTAATTGCTTATTGTGTTGGTTGGTCGAATATATTTATGTTACTCTTATCACACGTACCTGTTGTTTCACTCCCTCCTGTCTGAAATTATGGTTCTTGGAATGCTTTTAGGATGGCCACCGTGTTAAAAAATACCGAGGCATGGGCTCTCTCGAAGCAATGACAAAGGGGAGTGACGCCAGGTACCTAGGCGATACCCTCAAGCTTAAAGTCGCCCAGGGAGTTGTTGGAGCAGTTGCTGATAAAGGTTCTGTGCTGAGGTTCATTCCTTATACAATGCAAGCTGTTAAGCAAGGGTTCCAAGATCTTGGTGCGTCATCTTTGCAGTCAGCTCATGAGCTGCTGCGATCGGAGACTATCAAATTAGAGGTATCTCCATGCTGGACAACATTTTTAAATTATGAAATGGAATAATAATGTTAAGAATGTTAGATTGGATAAAATGCTTTTTAACAGTACAATTTTTAGAAGATAATGAACACATTCCCTGTTTCTAGGACTACACATGCTTGCAGGCTACAGTATAAACGCTGCCTTTCTGCCTCTAAATTGAAAAAAAAAAGGTTTAGTATCAGAAGTAAACAGCTAAGATATGGTGAATAAGCTGTTCCACTCCCTATTTTATAGAGTATGAATCTTATTTCCCGTGCAGTACTGGCTGCTTTTGAGCTTATTCTCTGCCAGCTAAAACATAGTAAAAATTCCAAGGGATTAGAGATCGATAAATTTTAATGTTGTGATAAGGCTTCAAGGCATATGATTTTCACCCCCAAGTGAAATTCAGATTGCAATGCTCGAGGAATGTTCTATTGTTGTTATGCTTGACCTTTGTTTTCAAGATTAAGGGACGATTTACCTCATCTCGCGACCAAACTGTCCCTGCCAAGTATAATCGGTCGTTTGTTCATACCACCAAATGAAGTCTCCTTTTTAGTAAAAACCAAAACGGCATACTAGTAGCTAACTGAACATTGTGGTCGAATAAAACTGAAAATGCACAAGACGCCTTGCTCGTGGATGATGTATAGTCCATAAAGTACATGAACTGATTTAAAATTCCCCAAATTATTTATGTTCATAGCATTGTTACCATGTGTGTTTCTCTTGAAATGCTATACTGATTTTGTTTAACCCCCCTCCCCTCCCCCCCAAAAAAGAACAGAGAACTGATAGAACTTTTACCATCTTCCTTTTCAGGTGAGGACTGGCGCCGCGCAAGTTGAAGGGGGGATACATGGGCTAGTGTCGTACGAGAAGAAGGCATTCTAGTTCCAGATTTAATCAAGCATCAGGACAAAGCGGCTATTGCATCCTAAGGAAACAACTGTTCCCTATCTTTACCTGATCAATGATTTTCAAGAACAGCTCGTCTGCTTGATGAACCTGGCATGCTGTTTCATCGGTCGGTAGCATCACCATCCGTTTACCATCGCAACGACATGATCGATTGTGCTTTAACTTCAGTTTTGCTAGAGGGGAAGCTATCCCATGATTTGCCTCAACCGGTTGATGCTGATGTACTTTGCCTTTTTGTGCAAACTTCCAACCGCAAACTCATCCTGTTGTAGCGAATTCGGCTTATGTTTTTTTTTCATGAATAAGAATAAATAAGTTTGGTTTGTACTTTCGGCCAATTCGGCCCCAGATGTTATCGTTGCTTGCTTTTGTTTCCTGATAGACCCGTATCCGTGTGGTTGCTGCTGTTGATTGGTCCCTTTCATCTTTCTTAGCAACAGCTATTACTACATCCTTTGACATCCATGATCCATGCGTTGCTTGGATTACCAGTCAAGCATCGCTATCATCCATGATCCTCTTAAATTGCCGTCACAATTCGATATCTAATCATCCTTCCTTCAGCTACACACCCTATCTCACAGGGTGTGTAGTACGACCCCACCACATCCGTCCTCTCTGGCTTATGCCATCCTGGCAAGCGGGACCCACTTCCATCTGCCGCTGCAGGTGGGCCCCCCATATTCATCTTCGGTTGCGCCAGGCTGGAACCGGGGGGAGCGATACCTCTGATCCGCTTCCAGAAACTTCAGGTCCCCGACCGTCCGATGGCGAAACGCACGGTCGAGATCAATAACACAGCCACGGCACAGCTGGTGTCGCCTGCCCGTGGGCCCCACGTCAACTGGATGCTGGGTCCCACCGAAGTCACGCGCCTCTCCACCCACGGAGGCGTCCGGCGGTATAAAGACGGCGAAAAAAACCATTTCGAATTCTCACCCAAGCAAGCAACCCCGTCTCCTCCGCTTCGCTACTCTCCTCGTCGTCTCCGGCTCCGGCTCCGGTTTCCGGCGAGCGGCGGCGCGATCCCGGGCGGCGAAGGAGGGGGAAGCCATGAGGGAGATCCTCCACATCCAGGGCGGGCAGTGCGGGAACCAGATCGGGGCCAAGTTCTGGGAGGTGATCTGCGACGAGCATGGCGTGGACGCGACGGGGCGGTACGCGGGGGACTCCGACCTGCAGCTGGAGCGGATCAACGTCTACTACAACGAGGCGAGCGGCGGGAGGTACGTGCCCCGCGCCGTGCTCATGGACCTCGAGCCCGGGACCATGGACTCCGTGCGCTCCGGCCCCTTCGGCCAGATCTTCCGCCCCGACAACTTCGTCTTCGGGCAGTCCGGCGCCGGAAACAACTGGGCCAAGGGGCACTACACCGAGGGCGCCGAGCTCATCGACTCCGTCCTCGACGTCGTCCGCAAGGAGGCCGAGAACTGCGACTGCTTACAAGGTATCTCATCTCATCTCGCATGTCCCATTCCGCGTGGTTTAGCTAGATCCGAGAGAGGCTTTGCACCATCGAGTTAGATCTAGTACGGATCTGAGCTTGTAGCGGGTGGAAGCGCGATTAACGTCTTTTTTTGAAACCATGGAGTGCGATTAACATCGGTGCCAGTTTCGCATTTAAGGGAGAAGCGGTTTTAGCATTTAGACATTCCCCAATTCGTAGTCCTGTTAATTGTAGTGGTGTATGTATCGAATTGAACTGTCCATTGCTGTTGATCTTCTCTATAAGTATGTCTTCGTGTTATTTGTTGTATAGCATGATAATCTGTCATCTGTGCTACTTGTGTTCTAAATTCTAATGGCCCAATTTGCATTTAGCTTATAATGCCATTGTGTGACCAATTTTTCATATCTTGGTAGGGATGTGCCTGTGAGAATTTTAAGCTCCATAAGACGCTCTATCAATCATCAACCTATGTTTTGTATATGAGCTCCTATTGTCTTATGTAGCTTGATCAACATCAATTGTTGTTGCCTTGTTGGTGGAATGGGCATCAACATCAACACCAATATCTTATCTAGCTCCTACTGTAGCTGTTCTAGATGTTTACACAGAACTTTTCTCTTTACCTGTAGTGTCCACCTGTGTCATAGCTGGATTTAATTCTTTAAAAACTCAAAACATAGCAAAATTGTAACCTTGTCTTTCATGGTTTACAATGAAATCAAAACTTTATTGCTTTGGTCATCCTTATGATTATTTATTTTTGGTACAGCTGTACAGGTATAATATTCAACATGATAGACCCAAGTAATATGCCTTAGTTGAATGCCATGACAAGTTCATCGACTAATAAAGCTTGGTAGAAGAAGATGTGAAAAATTGCCTTTGCCTTAATCCATATAATACCTTCTCTATTGGAACATGATCAATTGCTCCCAAACTCTGGTTTCGTGGAAGACACAGTGATACCCTAAACTTCTAGCTGCCCTTGGCCTTTTGAATGTTGCTACATTCGTTGAACCCAAGGCTGCCTTTTGTAGATGCATGTTTGAAGTCTGTTTGCATTGATGACTAACATCATGGTCTTATATTCTTTACTTGCAGGATTCCAAGTTTGCCATTCATTGGGAGGAGGCACTGGATCTGGCATGGGAACCCTTCTTATTTCTAAGATTAGGGAGGAGTACCCGGATAGAATGATGTTGACATTTTCCGTCTTCCCATCACCAAAGGTCTCGGATACTGTTGTGGAGCCTTACAATGCTACCCTTTCTGTTCACCAACTTGTTGAGAATGCTGATGAATGTATGGTGCTTGACAATGAAGCTCTCTACGACATATGCTTCCGCACACTAAAGCTTGCTACCCCTACCTGTAAGTTAGTCTCCTCTTGTTTACTTCTCCATGATATCACTAAATTACTGTTCAACTAGAAGTAGGCACTCATAGCTTGCTTGGTTCTAACAATGCAGTTGGTGACCTCAATCATCTTATCTCTGCAACCATGAGTGGTGTTACATGCTGCTTGAGGTTCCCTGGTCAGCTCAACTCTGATCTGCGCAAACTTGCTGTGAATCTCATCCCTTTCCCCCGTCTCCACTTCTTCATGGTTGGCTTTGCGCCATTGACTTCACGCGGATCACAGCAGTACCGTGCTCTCACCGTTCCTGAGCTGACACAGCAAATGTGGGATGCGAAGAACATGATGTGCGCTGCTGATCCCCGCCATGGCCGCTACCTCACAGCTTCTGCCATGTTCCGTGGGAAGATGAGCACCAAGGAGGTGGACGAGCAGATGCTCAATGTTCAGAACAAGAACTCCTCATACTTTGTCGAGTGGATTCCCAACAACGTCAAATCCAGTGTCTGTGACATTCCGCCCAGGGGGCTGAAGATGGCGGCGACCTTCGTCGGGAACTCCACCTCCATCCAAGAGATGTTCCGCCGGGTCAGCGAGCAGTTCACTGCCATGTTCAGGAGGAAGGCTTTCTTGCACTGGTACACAGGCGAGGGAATGGACGAGATGGAGTTCACCGAGGCAGAGAGCAACATGAACGATCTCGTCGCGGAGTACCAGCAGTACCAGGACGCCACAGCCGATGAAGAGTACGAAGACGAAGAGGAAGAAGCTGAGGCCGAATAGCATTGAGCCCCATTTGCCCTTCACAGGTTGTTTTGCCAGTGAAGAGTTTTGTGTCTTTGTGATGCTGTGCTCTTTTTTCTTTCTCTGACGTGCGTGATGGATGTATGGGTGAGGTTTGCGTCCGTGCTTCGTTTTGTCACCTGTGCTGCGTAGCAGGCTGCAGTCCCGTTTTGTAAGACGTCTCTGGTGGTCAGTAGCTGAAGGCTTGAAAAGTGTTTTGAGTGCCCTCCTTGAGCTAAATCACCTGTAAGTTCTGACATGTATTGGTAGTGGTTTTCTCATCTCTGTGAAGCTTCTGTGTAGTCTGTTACTATATCCAGTTTCTCTGTATATCGATCGTAGTGTCATCTTGCTTGGCTGAAACGTTTTAAAGATCACTCTGGAGTACGCTGTTAACCACTCGCTGAATGGTAGCTGCATCATGAGCTCGATCATAGCGGAGGAACTGTCATTCTCTGAATTTTCTGCATCTCTAAACATGCCTCTGAACACTTCGAGTTTGTGACTTGTGAGCTCTTTGGCTTTACCACTGACCTCTTCACCAACAGTGCGCCACTTGTGCTGCACTTGCAAGCGCGCACAAGTTACACAACGAGTGTCCGTTTCAGATCAGATCCAAACTGTCCATGGATCCAGCGGCCGGTCAAATCGAATGCACATGCACATGCAAAACGGATCTTCAGACAGAATCATGGGCTCATGGCCTCATCATCATCGTTCTCTTAATTAACTTGGGTTAAAATTTTTATCTCTCTCGCAAGAATGTCCCAAATAAGAGAAGAAAGATATTTAGGGTATCCTTGTTTGCTCCAAAAAGAATTAGTCGTCACTAAAATTTGAGTTTTAAACATAAATTTGGAGTTAATTTTAAGGTATTTTGAACATAGTTTCTTTTTAACATTGATTATTAAATCGTTAAGGACACATCATATACAATTCTTTATTTACAAATTATTTTTTACTAATAAATTATTTTTGATTTATAATCAGCATTTGATCAACACATAAGGGCCTGTTTGGGGAGTTTGCTGTAGCTTCTCCCAGAATCAGAATCTTTCCCAAACAGTATAACTTTTGTTTCAGATTTTGAGAAGCTGTAGTTGTAGAAGCTAGAAAATAAACTAGAAGTTAGAAGCTGAAAAACCAGATTCTCAAAGGCTGGCTAACAACAGCTTGTGTAGAATTAAATGTCCTTTTCGAACCACACGTACCATGCCTCCATTTGAATGCAAGTGCAACTATGCATGTTCATGTGAAGAGATGCATTTCTCTATGAGTAGTTGTATCATTTTTGTTTTCTTGTGAGATGCCAATCAATAACAAAATCGCAGTACAAATATTTGCTGGATTACTGTTCACTACTCCCATCACGGCACACTGATTCACAGCACACAGTACAGCCATCGCCAAGCTGGCAGGCCCGGGCCCACCACCCCCCTCCCTCCCTCCCTGCCTCCTCTATTTGAGAGAGCCGGAGGGGTTAGCGGGTTACAGTTGTAGATGCACCCCTGGAAAACCCAGGTAATTACGAACTAGTCCTTCTCCAGCCCGGCGACGCGGGGGAATTTTACAGATAAGCCCTCGGATTCCTTCCCCCTATTCTCCGCTCCTCGCGTCGTCGTCCTCCGAGAGGGGGAGGAGAAGGCGAGAAGGGGCTCCGGTGGTGGGAGAGGGAGACCGCCATTGCCGCTACTTCCGAGGTACGTCGGTGACCTACTCGATCCCGGGTGAAGTCTTGGTGGTTTTGGATGTGGGTTTGTGCCCCGTTCGTGTCGGTTCTTGATGGCCGCCGCCGCATTGCTTTGTTGCTTCGTTCTTGGCAAGTATGGCATTCGTCGTCGTTGTCGTCGTCTAGTTTAGTTGCTGGTGCGAAATTCTAGTGGGGGTTTTAGGGATCTCGTGGATTGACCGATGGCGACTTGGAGATCGAGTACTTCTTGGTGGGAAGGAAAAGATTGGATCTAGAACGAGATTTTTCCGTGCCTGCATTTGTCGTGGCGGCATGGTTCGAGTCAGATTCGTGTGAACAGGAAAAGGGCAATCTCTTGTGATGGCACTAGTTCTTGCCAAATTCGTGTGAACGATCGTTGTGCACTGTAAACGAGGAGATGGAGATGAAGCTTGGTTGCTGTTGCTGTTGTGTTAGTGGAGTCCCATGTGTGTGATTGTCCAGTCAAAGAAACGTTAGCGTGGGGCAGTGCAAAAAGTTGGTGATTATGGTACCCTCTTTAGTAATTAGGATATGTGTTTAATAGCATCCTGCGGCTGTCAGCATTGGTAGGATGTATTTGTGGTACAGTTAGTGTTGCTTTTGGATCTTGTCTCTGAGTTGTGATTGTTCAGTTTGTGTATATAATGATGTGTGATTCTGTGATGCAGTTCAGATTGGGGAAGATGGTTGTCCAGGAGTTCACCGTTGATCTGAACAAGCCTCTCGTTTTCCAGGTTTTGATTTGCTCTCTATCAGTGGTCTTTTGCGAATAGTTTTTTTGCGTCACTTGTCCTTGAAAATCATACCGTTGCCATGCTCACCTTCTTATTGTTTTTTAGCTTCTTGCATACAATTCTTAGTTTCTGACCATAAGGTCAGTTGCTCAAATGTCAAATTCTGATTTTCTAGCAATGCGCTGTAAAATTCTGGATTCTAAGTAAAACTAGTTCAGTTGCTTTGCATTTGGAGTAACATTTGTTTGTGGTGTGAATTTGATGAAGGTTGGCCATCTTGAGGAACGTTATCAGGAATGGGTTCATCAACCTATCGTGAGCAAGGAAGGTCCACGCTTTTTCGGAAATGATGTCCTGGAGGTATTATACATTCCAATTATTATTTAGGATTTTGTAAACTGAGCTGTCATAACATAACTTTTTGTGTCCAGTTCTTGACGCGCACAAAGTGGTTTGCTGTGCCAACCATATGGCTGCCTGTCGTCTGCTGGTTGCTTGTGAAATCTATTCGGATGGGTCATACTATTCAGGAAGTAGGTCTAATGGCCCTATTTGGAATATTCATTTGGACATTGATCGAGTATACTTTGCACCGCTTCCTATTCCACATTGAGACCAAAACCTATTGGTAAGAATTTATCAACCTTGAGCTGGTTATTCTATTGTTATTTTTTCTTTCTTCTCAGCGAGTGGCTCTGAATGTGATATTGCAGGGCAAACACAGCACATTACCTTCTTCATGGATGCCACCATAAGCATCCTATGGACTCACTCAGGCTTGTATTCCCCCCTACTGCAACAGCAATTTTGTGTGTGCCGGTACTTCCCTTAACCCATTGTACAAGCATAGAATCTGATGAGACTGTATACTTATGTTTCCATTCAAAAATTGTATCCACAAAACATGGTCCATTTAAATCGAAGTGGTTAACGGCTTCCCTTTTCAGTTCTGGAAGCTGGTAGCGTTCTTCGCAACTCCAACTATCACTCCTGCGCTATTTGGTGGTGGCCTGTTGGGATATGTGATGTATGACTGCACTCACTATTACTTGCACCATGGACAACCATCCAAAGAGCCAGCGAAAAATCTCAAGGTGACAACTTAGTGCCACTTATAAAGCTATAGATTATCTAGCTGTTCCAACCAAAGTCCATGAGGCTTGTATTCCTTACAACGTTTGCTCGTTATGCAGCGGTATCACCTCAACCACCACTTCAGAATCCAAAACAAAGGCTTTGGCATCACCTCATCACTCTGGGATTACGTTTTTGGGACATTGCCTCCGTCGAAGACCACCGGAAAGAACAACTGAGCCACTGACAGAAATGTATTGTTTTGCATGAGAAATTTTAGAGGATATGTAATATATATATTAAGTCTAGGCACAACTGCTTGTTTTGTCTTTCTGGGACAACAGGTTCACATGCCCATTCAGTTCGAATTCCTGTGGTTTACTGATGACTGCCTTGATGTGGGTGAAGAAGACATTTCATTGCCTTGACATCCAATGTTCTGAATTCAGATAATAGGCAGTTCTTGATGTGATCCATATGCCATGTTAAGCTTAGCAATTCTATTGGCATGTCCAATTACAAAATGTTTGTCTTTTCTTAGGATTTTTTCCCCTCAATCATCAAAGAGTATCAGATACTCACAGATGCGAGATGCCGTTTTCTGGGTCCCCGTCATGCCTGTCATGATTTTTTTTTGATACGCCTGTCATGAGTTGTCTGGCAACTACATTTCGGTCTAAAGGCAAAATGATGTTTATGTAATCATATAAGTAATAAAGAAATATGAAGTATTATTTTGGAGGAATAAGCATACTGGATAGCCCTACAGATTTATACAGGCGAGAAAGCTACTCAGAAGTCAAACAGCTATGACAAAATAGATTACTAGTTCCTGAATTTCTGTCATGGATATGCCTTTTCTAGTTTTCTTCCTTTTTCTTTGTGAGGACATGCCTTTGTCATGGATATGCCTTTTCTTCCTTTTTCTTTGTGAGGACATGCCTTTTTCTTATTAAGCGAGCCAAGAGTCTAAATGCAAATTCTGACTTTTGTTTCATGAAAAATATCAGACATTTTTTTTTACGTAAGAAGGTAGAGCAGGCTCTACCTTATGGCCATTTCATTGATAGAAATGAAGGATTACAAGATTTTAAGGAAGCTTATAGAGGAAGAAGAAGAAAGAGAAAACAGAAAAAAAAAAGAGAAAACAGACAAACAGGAATAAGAGAAAGAGACGGGGGTTAGGACTTAGGATTGTAGAATTTACAGAGGTATATACAAGAGCCTCTTCCTAAATCTCGAGCACCAAGAGATAATTTTCTGCTTGATTAACTCGTTTGCTCTTTTTCATGAAACGTTAGAACGTGGCAAATACGAAAGCAGTTCTTGAAGTCGCAGCAGATCGCACATGAAATGCAGACATAAATTTAACACCCAGTTCAGCTATCAATGAGTCTTTGCTTATCACCAGATCCCCGGTTGAGATGAACAATAATTCCATTCATTATAATTCCAGATCTACAGACAGTTGGGGCGTTGGAAGCACATGGGAACCATCTAGTTCCAGTTCAGATCTTCAGATGCCCCTCATGAAACATATTTCCTCAGATGATAAACACACTACCTCCTTTTCAAAATGTTTGGCATCATTGACTTCCGTACAACGTTTGATCTTTCGTCTTATTAAAAAAATTAGTACAAATATGTAAAAATATAAATTAAGATTATACTTTATTTGATGATAAAACAAGTCACAACAAGATAAATGATATTTCACTCCTTTTGTTTTGAATAAGACGAATGGTTAAACGTTATGCGAAAAATCAACAACATCAAACATTTTGAAATATTGAAATGGAGGGAGTAGTATGTTACAACAGTATCCAATAATCCAGCAGCAAGTGAAAAAAAAATCAATTTAGCCACAGTAAAACTGTGCCTATTCAAATTGAAATGTACACCAAACAAAAATGAATCTGCAAAATTCGAGACAGAATAGCGCTTAAAAGGAAAAGCAAACAGAAACTAGAGTTTTGTAAATCGACACAATGAGTTGGCGAAACTTCCCAATTTTCATTAATATATAAACACAAGTGTCCCGCATTTGGCTACATTGCAAAAGGGCGAAGCCCACACTACGAAAGCTGCCCTAGATACAAGGAGGCTAAAAGGCGAAGGGCCTCACACCTCTGGGTGATCTGGGCCAGCTGCGTCAGCTTCACCGTCGCCAGCTTTGGGCTCCTCCGCGGCTTCTTCCGCTTCGCGTTGAGCCTTCGCGCTCTTCTCCAGTTGGTCGCGGAGATAGCCCTTAGCGATGGTTCACCCCTCCTTCTGCCAGTACTCTTTTCGCCAAGCGCGAAGAGTAGTAGAGATGGGGTACGACTTCTCCGGCCAATCTCCCTTGACGAACTCCGGGAATTGGGCGACATGTTCGCACCCATTTTCCTGGAGCACCCCAAGCACGAAAGCCGCCGAAACCCGAGCACAACAATCACCATAATTGCTGCCGGTCTCAGCCACGGCACCTCCGGCTTGTTGTGTCCATTCCGAGAAGTCCAGCGCGGAAGCATTTTTGCCTGGAACGCCTTTGGCCTGGGCGCCCAACTCATGAAGGGCAAGCCGGAGAGTATAGCTGGCCGACTTGGCCGAATCTGTAATCTCAGCAACGGAGCGGGCAGACTCTTTCGCCGTGGTTTCGGCTGCGGCCTTTGCCTAGTCCAGCTCCTGGCGAAGGCTGTTCATCTTCCCCTCGGACGAATTGTAGTAGTCCAAGAGGGTAGCGTTCTGGTGCTTCGCCTTCTCCAGTTCCTCCTTTAGTTTTTTGTTTTCGGCCTTAGCCTGCCTTAGGGATTCGGCCACCACCTCTCGCTCCTGGTTTTTTCGACCAAGGTCTCCCTCGAGCCGACGTAGACGGTCCTTGTACCCGTCGAGGCGGGCCCGAACGGACTGCTCCATGTTGCAGTGGGCTAAAAGTGCCTAGCGAAGAGAAAGGGGGAGCAAAAAAGTTAGCAAGAAACATTAAAGTTTTGAGCGCATCCAAAGCAATTTAGAGCAAAGAACGTACCCGAACGAGTAACCGCTGTGCATCCCTCATCAAACTCGTTTAGCTCGGTAAATGGGCTAGGCCCGCTAGCCGGCGAAACAAGTTGACTCACCCCTCTGACAAAGGGGATGAGCTCCAAGCGGGTCTCGAAATCCGCCGGGACAAAGCGAGGGACTGACAACGAATTGTTGTCGGAGACGGATTTCTCAACGGCTGAAACGGGAAATGATATTTTACTCTTTTTGTTTTGAATAAGACGAATGGTCAAACGTCATGTGAAAAATCAACAACATCATACATTTTGAAATGGAGGGAGTAGTATGTTACAACAGCATCCAATAATCCAGCAGCAAGTGAAAAAAAATCAATTTAGCCACAGTAAAACTGTGCCTATTCAAATTGAAATGTACACCAAACAAAAATGAATGTGCAAAATTCGAGACAGACATTTAGCAATACATTGCCAGACAGTGTAATAACCCATCTAATATGGGGGATTTTAAGAGCGGATCATACGGGGTGAATTTTTAGGGCGCCTTCTCTTCCCATTTTTTTGAATTTTCGGCTTTTCAGTCACCAATGCATACATTTTAACAGCAAATAATTCCTTTGGAAGGTCGCTCTGGTCCTGTTATAATTGCAAGATTAGATGATTTACAGGGAAAATATGAAGTTTGTAATTGAAAATTGCAATTTTATGACATGCATACCTTAATGCTATGGATATATAAACCACATTTTTTAAATAGCTCCTTGAAGTACGCATCAGATCTAGTGATACTGTTATCCTCCTTGTCCAAAACAAATCCTGAAAGTGCAGTACCTCATATTAATTCCCAAATAAGTACGATGTTAAATCTCTCAAAAAGTATACGCAGTAATCAGACAAACCATTTGATACAGTGACTCACCGTTTCTTGCAATATTCTCCTTCAGTACAAAAAATCCATTGGGTTTGAGCCCAATCTGGAAGCAATATTACCAATCCAAACTTAATTAGAATGCGTAGAGATGGAATATCTTAATTCGGATTTTATCACTACTAATAATAAGTGCAGAAACATGAATATTGATATTTTTCATTCGATAAAATTAGAAATAGGCTGAAAATAAAGACTCGAAGACCAGAAATACTACTTGGCATGGATTTAGAACAAAGTATCGGCATCCAACTAGCAGTAAACTCCCTCAAAATAAATATAGCAGTGCAACAGACATAATTATCAAGGTAGAAGTGGTAGCATCATTGATCAACTGGACAGGTATTTGCAGATAGTATATAGTAACAAACAACTTTGTATTCATGCACAAGAAGAAGTTTATCTGTATCGAAGGGAAAAAAAAGACCAGTTTCCTTCTATAAAAATAATGGTATAATGCTATAGCATATATTAACATCTTTTTGCGCACAACAAAAATTTTAAATCTAACTGTCAAGCACAGATGAATACTTCAATACAAACAGAAACAAATCATTGTAACAGTAAAATTTACATAATATATGAATTAAATGCAGCACCTTTGCACGGTTAAAAAATGAAATAAAGTCATCATCAGGAAGTTGCCCTATGCACCACTGGATCCATATTACATCATATCTTCCTTCATCAGGAGTGAAATCCTAAGCAACAAATGAATGCTATTATAAGAAATGGAGTGGAAAACAGCACAAAGTATCAAACTTCAATTAACAATGATCTAAAGAAGTAGAGAAACCAACCTGAAGAGGTACACAATAAAAATTAGCAGCCTTATGTGTATCTTCCCCTACTTCCATACATTCAGTAAGATTTTCCTGTGCCGCTTCTAGAAAATGGGACACTGGCTCAACAAGATCAACCTGAGCACCCATTTCCAGTTTAAAACAAACCATTGGAAGATACAGACAAAGAACATCAACAATAAATATTACAGATAAAAAAGAACAAAAAATAGTACTCCTACTAGAGTTATGCTTGACTGGCAAAACAAAATGCATTGATTCTTGCCAATATATCATCATGTGGGTACTACAACAGCAGCTGCATGGACTGAAGATAACTCTATATGGTCTAACAATATCATGATACCGATAAGCATGTGAGCGTCCATGATTACAGTTACATCTCAAAGATTGTGAGAGAAACATACAGAGGCATACCTCGTTGAAATGCCTAAGAAGAAAATTCTTTGTAACCCTCCCGATGCCCGAGCCACAATCTGCCATAAATTCAGACATCAACCAAGTGGATCAAGCTGCATATCAGCACGGCGACGATTGTATATAGCTCTAGCACCGTGAACAGCCAAAAAGAATATCCTTCCACAGAAGTGAACTCACCGAGGGCGACGAGATGGCGCCTCGCGGCGCCGAATCGCTCGGCGAGGAGAGGACGGAGGAACGCGTCGCTGCCCTTGACGTCCACGTCGTTCACGCATCCGTACCCTCCAAGGACACCCTCGGTCGACGCCTCCACGCCCTAGCACACCCAAATCAAGAAAACTTGTAGCCGAATTCGCCGCGAGGAGACAATGCGCTCGGATTTGGGGGGGTTTAGGGTTTAGGGAGGAGGAGGAGGGAGTGAGTGAGCGCTCTTTACTTGCCAGTAGGCGATTGCCTTGGAGTACCACTCCTCCCGCTTCCCGCCGCCGCCTGCCTCCTCCTCGCCGGCGACCCCGTTGCTTCCGGCGGCGGGGGCCGGAGCGGGTTCGGCTACCGCGGCGGAGACCGGGGCATCCGCCGCGGCGCCGATTTCGTGCGCCCACATCTCGGTGGCGCTGGAGAATTCCCGGCCTTCGGAATCGAAGCCGCGGGAGTCCATCTCTCCGGCGGCGGCGGCGGCGGCGGCTTGCTTGCGCGCGAGCTTGGAGAAGCTGAGAAGGAAGGAAGAGAGAACGCCTTGTAATAAAGTAGGACTAGTACTTATTTGTAGTTTTTGCAGGGGCCTTTTAGCAAATTTAATCTCCTGCCCTTCTCCCTATCAAATGGTGCCATGAACTAAGGTCCTCTTTAAGCTGTGTTTAGTGTACACCAAAATTAGAAGTTTGGTTGAAATTGAAACGATGTGACGGAAAAATTAGAAATTTATGTGTGTAGGAAAGTTTTGATGTGATAGAAAAGTTGGAAGTTTGAAGAAAAACTTTGAAACTAAACACGGCCTTAGCAGAGCTCCAAAATTCAAAATTCAAGATTTCTTAGAGGTAAGGTCCTCTTTGTACAACTCAATATTCAAGATTTCTTAGAGCTAAGGTCCTCTTTAGCAGAGCTCCAAAATTTTACGGAGCTGAGTATTTCAAGGTCCACAATACATCCATGGATTTGGATCTACGATTACGTGTATAATATTTGAATAAATCAATTTCTTGCTTTAGATGAAATTTAAAATTTTAAATCACTATAATTTAACATATAAACATCAAACCTATCATGAATTTGAAATCTGGAGCTCTGCCAAACAAAGCCTAAGTATTCCTTAAATCTATGGATTTAAATTTACGATTATATGGATAACATTTCTATAAATTAGTTTGTTCCTATTTTAGATAAAACTTAAAACTTAAAATCACTATATATTTTTTACATACATCAAATCTACCGTGGATATAAGATCCGTAGCACTGCCAAACAGAGCTTTTTAGAAACACCTTTGATTAGTTTGATATATGAGTCTTTATGATAAGATTTGTTTAATAAACTTTAATAATCAATTTTATATAATAGTAATTTTAAGGTAAATTTACACATACCATTTTTCTTATCCTAAATATCAAATACAGAGTATTTATAACCAGAGGAAGTATTCCTGAAACATAATAACAAAAAAAACAGATATTTCATCTGGAGTGACCTTAAAACATCAAGCATCTGTTGTGAGCAAAACAATATTAGCAATTTTTTCTTCTGCACATGGCTGGACTAGTGGACTGGCAGTCTGGGGATAGTTCCCTTAACACTTAAAAAAGATGTCGCATCAAATTTTCGATTGAAGATTACAATGTTCAAATGACAGTTTATAAGTAGGTATGTCGAATTATACTCTAATGTTTCGTAGAGAGCTTATCTTGAATGATTTACAAAGCCATGGGCTAAAGCAATGATGCCGCAAAGTTCCAATGACGCAAGTACAGTTAATGTCTCAGACAAAAAAAAATCCCATGATCTGTTTCTCTCTTGTGCAAAATTCGAGTATATATTGAAACTTCTCGCTGCTGCTATTATTGTTGAGTTGTTGTCAAACGTTGAACCGGAAAAGCATGACATCGCCTTCCTGCACGATGTAATCCTTCCCTTCCAACCTCAACTGCAGTGACAGAGGTAACAGGTGAACACATATCTCTAGCCCTAGAATTCGTTGCATAATAAATTGCAAAATTGTTTTACCAATCCCTTCTCCCTTGCAACTCCAAGAGAACCCGCCGCGACAAAATCATCATATGATACCTGGGATATGGTAAATGACCATTGAAAAATCAGTAAAAGAATATCTAAAAGAATACTAGGAAGTGAGCAATATCTTGATCAAATGCATCTAAAGAGATGCAGATATCGCCAAATCTTAACTCCATCGAGCCAATTACTAGAACCATTAGTTAACCTTTGTGATTATGGAACTTACAGTTTCAGCTCTAATGAAGCCTTTCTGAAAGTCACTGTGAATAACTCCTGCTGCTTGAGGTGCAGTCATGCCTAACACACAGTCAAAACTTTTAGTTTATACAGTAATTGAAATGCCACAAAAGAACAGCACTGTGAAGAAGAATAAAACCTGCAAGAATAGTCCAAGCTTTTGTTTCCTGATAAAGAGGGGGGAAATTGGAATCAAATGGCAATACCAAAAACCAGGAAACGAAGTAGTCCCTTGACACAAAATTTCACCTTATCTCCAGTTGTGAAATAAGTCCTCAATCCCAGAAGGTCATATGTTGCCTTTACCAAATTTCCTAGTCCACTTTCAGTAACACCAAGGGATTTTAGATATTCGACTCTCTCTTCTAATGGCAGTTCAGCAAGTTCAGCCTCAACCTGATTTGTGTTCCACACATTTATTTTTGCTTAGATCAATGCGAACATATTGTTTAGGTAGTATCGATCAATGTCTAAGTAAACAAATGCTCAGATGTACTCATGTAGATGCGTATTACAAACCTGAGCTGATATTGTAACCATGCCAGATTCCAAGTCTGTTGCTAGTTTGGCTACCTCTTTGACATGAGGGTTGTTACCAGGTTCAGCAAGATCAGATTCAGTTACGTTGGCAACATAAATGACAGGTTTCATAGTTAGTAGACAAAGATGTTGGATAGCTTCTTTCTCATGGTCAGCCAAATCAACAGATCTAGCAGGTTTTCCATCCATAAGTACAGTCTGAATTTTTTCCAATCCAGTCCTCTCTGCTTGTTCCTGAGTAGTGAGAACTGTTGGGATCTATAATAACCATCAAAATAAGGAGAAGAGCCTGAAAACCTTACCTTGACCTTTACTTGCTGGTCTTTAGTTTTGCTCTTTTTAAGCTTATCCAGTCTTTTCTCTATCTGCATCTCGAACACAATTGTCAGCGTTAATGGCAAAAAAGAAAGCACATAATTAAATCCATACATGTTTTTTTTTCACCCCACAAAGCAAGCAAGGAGATAACATAATGCAGTTACAAAATTACCTGGTCAAGATCAGAAAATATAAGCTCCAGATTAATTACATCAATATCTGATTTGGGATCAACTTTCCCACTCACATGAACAATATCATCATCTTCAAAACATCGCACAACCTGAAAAGGCCTTAAAACTCAACGATTAAAACCCCCAAAGGCCCCAAAGGCAAAACATAAGACAGCACAAGAAAGTTAAAATACCGATAATGAATTGCAGTGCCAAGAAAAACAAAGTGACACTCATTATGTGTTCAAATTTTGTATAGAAGCTTAATTGGTACTTTACGAACATTGAAAAAACATCTACCAGAGAATAATATAAAGTTATCCTTAGCAATATGAAAAATACAACAGAATAATATGTAGTACTTGATGAACAATGGAATGAGGCATGCGAAAAATGCATGGTTAAAGTCTCCAGAACTTGACAAATATCTGATGGCAAAAGATTTATAAAAACGACAAGAAACTGACCTGAAGGATGGAATCAACCTCACGGATGTTCGAAAGAAATTGGTTTCCTAGTCCCTGATGTATCACGGTTATATAAACTAGTCAGAACTCAGAAACAACATCAGCCAGAACAGCACATTGACATCCTAACATAAAGCGAAGTCATTAATGAAACACCTCTCCTTTGCTTGCTCCTTTGACGAGACCTGCAATATCCACAAGCTCTATGGATGTTGGGATTGTCTCCTTAGACTTGCTTAATTTTGAGAGCACATGCAAGCGAGCATCTGGGATAGCCACAACACCAACGTTGGGGTTTATGGTGCAGAAGGGAAAGTTTGCAGCTTGTGCCTTCCCATTTTCAACCTGACAACGTTGACAAAAGAATTCATGTTACAACGTAATCAACAATAGCATGCACATTATTGCGAGGAATGGCATGTCCCGTGCAATACGGCAGTTGCATTTTCATGCGTTAAAGATTCACTATACTTCCCATCAAACAATCATCACGACTGCAAAAGCACTCCTGCAGCTAGGGAAATGAAAATTCAGTGCAAAAAATCTGTGACGAGTCCTATCTAAGTTAAGCATCATAAGTTCATAACTAGTCAAACGTTGGAGAGCTGCATCTCTGTGTGGCAAAGAATCAAACAGTTGATGCGCAGTTCCATTGACGCCGCATACCCACTTCATCCTCGACCAAAACCAATCCATGAATCGAGAAGAACTCCTCAAAAGCACAAATAATCAAGATCGCCTTCTTTCTCCTCGAGTTGCTTCCAGCTAAAAACGAGTTCATAACAGCACGGAATTCTTCGGAAGAAGCAGAGGGAAGGTTCCTTACAATGGCATTGAAGAGTGTGGACTTGCCGACGTTGGGCAGGCCGACGATGCCGGCGCGGAGGCTCATGCTAATCCGCGCGTTGCGGCCGGACGCGAACCGCCGGGCGCCTACACCCGCGCTCCGGCGCCACCGCAGGAGACGCGCCGGGGACGCGCACGAGGAAGGCAAGGTGGCCGTCGGAGTCATAGCTGGTGTCCGCGTGAATCCCGCGAACGCAGAGCCGAGTGCGCGGCGAGACATCGTCGCCATAGACACGTACGCCCGCGCGGCGGCAGCGGCGGAGGCGGCGGCGCGGAGCGGAAGGCGGGCGGCTGTACGGTTGTCAGAGAGACGACGAGGCGGGCGGAGGTGAGAGATAGAGTAGATGAGATGGCACGTGAGCCGCTCGTGACGTCACGGCCTTGGAACACAAATGCATTTTAATTTTAAAAATGAACCATTTTAAAACTTATTTTCAAACTTTAAAATCTCCGACTATTGTTAACCTATATGGTGTGACAAAATAGCGTACCCATAGTGAAAGTGACACGTTTGTCACACCATTTAGAATGGAGAAATCAAACATTATAAGTTTCGCTCAAAGACCATTTTTGAAAAGAGATTCAATAAAATGTATTCTCAATCAATGGCTACACGTTAGAACACGATTTGGAACTAAATTGATTATGCACGCCTTTTTTTTCCTCCCAACAGCATCGTCTTCTCCATGCACATCGGCTCATTCCTCGTTCCTCGTCGAAGAACTTCGTGGGAGCAGGCGGCGCTCGACAGCCGACGCGTACGTGAGGAGTGGCTCCTCCCTCGTTCCTCGTTGAAGAACTTCGCGGGAGCAGACGACGCTCGACGGTCGATGCGTAAGCAAGGAGGAGACCAGACGTGCGCTGCTAAACCAGCTAGATTTGAATGGTCAAACTGGCGTGACAGTATTGTTTTGACATGTCGGCGTGACACGAAGGTTTTAAGAAAAGTTTATTTTTAAATTTAAAATTAAAGTTTAAGATATGACATCGGTATCTCAATGACCTGTAGGACCCACATGAGTCAATGACATATGAGTCAGAATAGCATATCTTAAATTTTACAAAATTATAATGGCATGGTTACAATTTTCCCAAAATTCAATGGTTCGGAAAGAAAAAAAAAATTCGAAGCGAAGCCTCGAAATCAAACGCGGCGAGTGAGTCGCCGCCGCCTCACTTCCCCTCCTCGGCCTCGTCGGCGGCTGCCATGCGCTTCCCACTGCGCCGCCTCCTCATCCGCCGCGTCGAGCTCACGCCGCCGCCACGGCCATGCTGCCTTCGCACCACCACCTTCTCCACCACGGCCGCCGCCGCCTCCCCCGACCGCCGCCTCCTCGCCGTGCTCCGCGGCTGCGTCTCCCCGTCGCACCTCTCGCTCGGACTGCAGGTGCACGGGCGCGCCGTCACCGCGGGGCTCCACGCCACCGACACGGCGCTCCAGACCCGCCTCGTCGGCATGTACGTCCTCGCGCGCCGCTTCCGCGACGCCGTCGCGGTGTTCTCCTCGCTGCCACGGGGCGCCGCCGCTTGCGCGCTCCCGTGGAACTGGCTCATCCGCGGGCTCACCATGGCGGGGGACTACCGCTCCGCGCTCCTCTTCTACCTCAAGATGTGGGCGCACCCCTCCGCGCCGCTCCCGGACAGCCACACCTTCCCCTACGTCGTCAAGTCCTGCGCCGCGCTTGGCGCGATCGCTCTCGGCCGCCTCGTGCACCGCACCGCGCGGACGCTCGGGCTCGACGGCGACATGTTCGTCGGCAGCGCGCTGATCAAAATGTACGCCAATGGCGGCCTCCTCTGGGACGCGCGGCAGGTGTTCGACGGAATGGCGGAGCGGGATTGTGTCCTGTGGAATGTGATGATGGACGGGTATGTGAAAGCTGGGAGCGTGTCGAGCGCGGTGGAGCTATTCGGGGACATGAGAGCGAGCGGTTGCGAACCCAATTTCGCAACCTTGGCATGCTTTCTATCTGTTTCTGCCACAGAGAGTGACTTGTTCTTTGGGGTGCAGCTCCACACGCTTGCTGTGAAGTATGGGTTAGAATCTGAGGTGGCGGTGGCGAACACACTGGTGTCTATGTATGCCAAATGCAAATGCCTGGATGATGGCTGGAAGTTGTTTGGCCTGATGCCGCGTGATGACTTGGTGACCTGGAACGGGATGATATCCGGATGTGTGCAAAATGGTTTTGTTGATCAGGCATTGCTTTTGTTTTGTGATATGCAGAAGAGTGGTATTCGACCGGATTCAGTTACACTGGTGAGCTTGCTACCAGCTTTGACTGACTTGAATGGTTTCAATCAGGGGAAGGAGCTTCATGGTTATATTGTCAGAAACTGTGTGCACATGGATGTATTCTTGGTTAGTGCTTTGGTGGATATCTATTTCAAGTGCAGAGCAGTGAGGATGGCACAAAGTGTCTATGATTCTTCTAAAGCCATTGATGTGGTTATCGGCAGCACTATGATTTCTGGTTATGTTCTAAATGGGATGAGTCAAGAGGCAGTGAAAATGTTCCGATATTTGTTGGAACAAGGCATCAGACCAAATGCTGTAGCGATTGCTAGTGTGTTGCCGGCCTGTGCTAGCATGGCAGCTATGAAGCTTGGTCAGGAACTCCATAGTTATGCTCTGAAAAATGCATATGAAGGAAGGTGTTATGTGGAGAGTGCACTAATGGACATGTATGCTAAATGTGGCAGGCTTGACCTGAGCCATTATATTTTCTCTAAGATATCTGCTAAGGACGAAGTGACATGGAACTCAATGATTTCAAGCTTTGCACAAAATGGGGAACCAGAAGAAGCCCTTAACCTTTTCCGTGAAATGTGTATGGAAGGAGTAAAGTACAGTAATGTGACCATATCTTCTGTGCTATCAGCTTGTGCAAGCTTACCAGCTATATATTACGGAAAGGAGATTCATGGTGTCGTCATAAAGGGCCCCATAAGAGCAGACTTGTTTGCTGAGAGTGCTCTTATAGATATGTATGGCAAATGTGGTAACTTAGAATGGGCTCATCGTGTTTTTGAGTCCATGCCTGAGAAAAATGAAGTCTCATGGAATAGCATAATTGCTTCCTATGGGGCTTATGGCCTTGTTAAGGAGTCAGTAAGTTTATTACGCCATATGCAAGAGGAGGGATTCAAGGCAGATCATGTAACGTTCCTCGCTTTGGTTTCTGCTTGTGCTCATGCTGGACAAGTTCAGGAAGGATTGCGACTTTTCCGATGTATGACCGAGGAATATCAGATTGCACCTCGAATGGAGCATTTTGCTTGCATGGTTGACCTATATAGTCGGGCAGGGAAGTTGGATAAAGCTATGGAATTGATTGTTGATATGCCTTTCAAGCCAGATGCTGGTATTTGGGGTGCTCTTCTCCATGCTTGCCGTGTGCATCGCAATGTCGAACTTGCAGAGATTGCTTCACAGGAATTATTTAAGTTGGATCCTCATAATTCTGGTTATTATGTGCTCATGTCCAATATCAATGCAGTTGCTGGACGATGGGATGGTGTATCAAAAGTGAGAAGGTTAATGAAGGATACGAAAGTCCAAAAGATACCTGGTTACAGCTGGGTAGATGTAAATAACACCAGCCATTTATTTGTTGCAGCAGATAAAAGCCACCCTGATTCTGAAGATATTTACATGTCCTTGAAGAGTATTCTTCTAGAATTAAGAGAGGAAGGTTACATTCCCATGCCAGATTTATGTTGTCCCACGCACCTGGACAGCAGCACACAGGTTCAGCAACAATAACTCTGCAACTTGTTTGATTGTGCACTTTCATACTTCAAACCTTTTGAACTGCTGTGTCAATAATGTCTAAACATGTTCTGAAGATACTATGTTATGGATCTACATACTAACTAGCCTCTGTTGAAAAGCCATCACTGCTCTGCTAGCATCATTGTAGTACCAGATTGTCTATCCATTAATAGCATGCAACATCAGAATGTAGGGTCACTTGGGCAATTGAAGTTTAGGTAACCTGTCACAGATCGTCTCTGTGTTCAGTGAACAGAACAATGGCATATCATGACTTACCTTAACATTCTTTGCAGATTGGCTAAATCAGAATGGCATTCTTGAATCTCGACAAATATATGATGCCCCTATGCTATTGTGCATTTTCTGTCAAGGAATTATCAAAAGCTATTTCTATCTGATTCAGTAATGTCGTAACATTGCCTGGTTCAGGAATTCATTTATTTTGTTGTTTCTTATGTGTGCGTTAATGAAAAGTTTGGTAAGAGTTGCCAGTCTAGAGTTAAGATTTTACTGCTAATGTCTTTATCTTCTTGCAGGTCATGGGGATTTGATTGCGATGTTGTCCAACACTGCAAGCTGATCTTCTGCTGATGATTAATTGAGAACCATTATATCATTATCATACAAACTTTTGTTTGTGACCAAATGATCTTCTTATGCAGCTTATTCAATATCTTCATCTGAAAAAGTGGTGGGTTGACTTACATTGCTCGTACATTAATTGCTTCAAGAGTGTAGGGTTCATCTAACTGACTAAGTAACTATGTCAATCAACCTTCTCCTTGTTGTTCAGGGCTGTTCATATCATGACAATTAAAATCTTCTGCGTTTCAACCTTCTCCTTGTTGTTCAGGAGGGTTCATATAATACCAAATTTAAAATCTTCTGCATGATTCAAATGTTTTTTGTGTACCAACATGGTTAGCCTTATTCTCTTACGGTACTCAATCTGCCAATCATGAGAATTTCAGTTTTGCTGGTTTAGTGTATGTGCCTTTCAATCTTTCAATTTTTTACAGTAACTGAGCAGTGAACTGTGCCAAACTAGATCTGAGAAATATCTATATGATACCTAGAATCAGTACAAAATCCAAAATAAGTGCAGCTACACCTAGGCTTGGTTGAATTTATAGAAGCTTCTTGATGTGAGCCCCTTAATGATTTCTGTAGGTGTTATCCTGCATAAATAAATCCAGAAGCATATTGCCTTGTCTTATTTGTGAAAAGTTGTTCCATTTTGCCACTGGCGTGAGTTTTTTTTTTCATGACATTTCTTGGTTAAATTATGTGTGTTCTTGTTCCATCAAGGCCCTACTATCCAACCTTTATCTCGTGTGTAATCTAAGTGAACATCAGGCTGCAGGATGAGAGGGTCATGAAAACAACATCGGCGTCAAAGCTTGGCAAGTTAATGCACCATCGTTTCCTAGAAAGTATTTCATTGAATAAGGCTTGAGTTGTATTATATGGTGCTAATAATAATTTGGAACTTTCACATCAATGAAGTCCAGCTTTTGAACTGATCAAAAGGTAATTTTATCGGTTTTACCCATATCAATCGTACAATTTAGCATGATAGTTAGTTATATGTGTTGGTTTATGTTACAGGGCTTTGCACATGAACAGAGGGCTCCTTGATTGCTAACTTGGAGATATCTAGTAAGTTTGCTCAGATTTTGAAAAGGAAATATTCGTCAGTTAATGATATAAATCAAAAGATCCTTATGTTGACTTTATTATTATATAGGATCCTGTATTCATGAAAAACATGGTACTATATTATATTATATATACAAGAGATTTCTGTATTTCTGTTGTTTCTGAATAGTAACCTCACAATGGTTGATTTCAAGGCCATGTTTTTCCCCCTTGCATAGCTGTCACTTGGTACCAATGTTTCATAAACATTTCATGTAAAGAGCAACAGTACTTGAAGTACATACATATGAAGTTGGCCGATGTTCTGATCCATAATCTGGATCATAACAATAGCATCACAAACTCAAGTTAAGAATAGTACAGGGTCACTTTATACTACACAAACCGTCACGTTTCTTTTGATTCATGTATTCCTGTTTAAGAGACTTTTAACTCATATGTCGTCGTCCAAAATTTTCAGATCTTTTGGAAGCTTCTCACGCTGTATGCGTGCAAGGCTCTGAGGATTTCTGATTGCATCCAGCATCCTGTCCAAGAATTCAATGAACTGGCGATCTTCATGAGCAACCTGAGGATCTGAAAACCTATCGAAGCGATACTGATCCTGCACGTTCCATTACAACCATAAAGCTTCAAAAAACAGAGGAACTCCAGCACTAAGCAATAGATACATCGTGGGGATATCATATACTACATAAGTACGTCTTAAATCACAGGTATGTGCAAACAGAAGGTCAGTAAACTTGTAGATATATATTTACCTCAAGTTTAGTTTTATGATGATTATGATTACTAGTTTACCACAATCTTGGAATTTATTTGACACTGTACATGAAAAGCTGAACAACAACACATCTACTTGTCTAAGCACAAACCTTTTATTTAAACGGAATAACCAAACCACAAACATTCAACTTCGATGTAGAAAAAAAAAAAGGCAAATTTTGGATAGAGGTCGAACCTTGATCGTCGTGTCGACTTGCCCACACGCGCTGCTGCAGAAGGATTGATAGCTCGCCGGAGAAAGACGACGGAGCCCCTCCCCATGGAACAGCTGCAGCTGGCGATGGCCGGAGAGGCGGCAGATCGCCTGAATTCTCCCGAGGACCAACTCCGATGCCATGTTTGCCCAAGCAAGCGGTTATCCTTTGTTCCCCTCTTCTAATTTTCCCCTACTTCAATCTACAAGCTTCTCCAGGGATCGAGCAGTAGTTGTAGTTGTAGTACTATCGGAGTATTACGCAAGGTATCGGCAGTCATGGAAAGCTTCGTTGGCCTCGTTTGGACCGGCCGGGTCAGAGATTGACTGAGATTAGCAGTCATCCTTTGACGGAACGTTCTTTGGTCTCGTCACTGATGACTAGATAATCGCAAGTCACAACGTGTCTCCTGATCTCATCTTTGATTTCTCCTCCTGTAGCTATCTTGTTGATTACTACTAGGTTTGTCTCCGCACACCTGGGATGCTCCCAGTTTAGTTATTATCCCTCTCAGGCTCTGCCACGTAGAGCAGAATTACCATGGCTGTAGACCCCAAGGCGCCGTTTGGGCGCGTAACTGAATTTTTTAGAGATGTTTCGTTACGATCCTTGATTGCCAATTTGGCTGGAAAGATATGGCATCTGTAGCAATAATTTTGATCGAGAAAACGTGTACGCGTTTCAGCGGAAGCCTGGAAAGATGCTTCGAGAAGAATATTTTGCCAATTGGTCATACATATTACATGGTCGCTGGCCAACTTTCTTTTATGACTCGGCTCAAACTTTTAATCCATGGTCTCTGAAAACTTAATATAGACGTGATTCACAAAAAAAAAAACAGAAAAATTCACACGATTCTTCACAGTAACTGTAGATCTCGGGTTGTAAAATTCTCCGGTCGTGTGGTGGTTGTCATAAACCGAACGACAACAATGTCGTATGGTGAAAAAAAATACTGCCACACGATTAACTCACTGGCATTTTTCAGCCTATCTGCAATAGATTCTTCTGTAAAACTTGGTGAATTTGTATTTTCGGTGCTATGGTATCACCGATGACTTCTCATCCAAGACCTGCACTTCCCCGTTCAATGCAACTACGACATATGATCTGCAGATAAGGATTGCAATGTCTTAGAATATGTAGAGCACTGCATAGCTGCATTACTGTGCACTCAAGTAGTAAGTGTAGCATTGATAGAAATCTTGGGCATCAATGATTACTAAATATCATAAAGGAAAGGCTGCTTCTCCTAGGTCTAACTATCTATATCTTTGAAACACCTTGGTCTAGTACTAGATTAAACTATATATAGTCATGTTAGTTTGAGAAATTTACGGAATGCTGGAAACTATCCCATGGTCCACGACACCGGCAATTTTCTCCAAGCTTTCTGCTACCTTACCTGTAACCGAAACAAGTCAAACCAGCTAAAAATCAATCGAAGAAATGGTCACTAAATCATCGAGTTAACTTAGCATACCAAGATCCGGGATGGGAGTTGTGAAGATAACATCAAGTACATGATGGCCCTCCTTGGTAACCAATGGGAAGTCACCTCCTAATGGACCAGCGGTTCCAATCGATGGCCGCCTCCATACCTTCATCAGGTTATCATGTAACGATGACCAATGATGGAAAGTACTCAGATTCACATCACCACAAATCCAGTAGTTGCTCAGACTTCAGAGTAAACATTAGAATTACATAATAAATATATGAGTGCACCTCTGCGTCTCCTAGGAACAAGTCATCAATCTCTTCAGCAGTGTCGATCCAATTTGCCTGAAATGACCCGTTCTTCTATTAATGATGATTATTGCAATTGCAGAAAACTGATCACTCCAGTACCAGAAGGTGGCTTACACTTTTCACCAAGACTGGAATTGAACCTTCGATGCCTTTCACATATTTTTCATGGCCAATGATGAAGGCAAGTTTATCAGCTGATTTAACAATACCCTATGGAGGCATTTTCACATGACAATGTGGAAAAGAAGAGAACAGATTACACCAAGGTTGTCTCGATGAGCAACTAAATGAATCTCATTTCTGATGAGCTTTTTGAATACCTTCTCCACCATGAAAGAAGGCTCTCCGCTCTCCGTTTTCCGACGGCCAATGACAGCGGTCATTGTGTCCTCTTCAATTATATCAGCATCAGTGAAAGCAAAGTCAATCTATATGTCAGTAAACACCGTTTCAGCAGTTCACCCACTTTCTCCCATTGTCAGCAAGATTTACAATGGTGAAAGAAATCAACATACTTGGGTGCCTTCCTCGTAGCTGCTGACCTGTATCCCTGCTTTCACTGCCTCACTTGCACTGATCGTGGACCTGGCTGATCAACCCCAAGAATGGATTAGATGCAACTGACAAAGCATGTCATCCAAGGAAATTCAGGTCAGGAGCTCATGCGTCCACTCTTGAAACAATGAGTGATCCAAAAAGAAGTTAGCTTCAGCAACCAGAACTTACGAGGGTATTCCAAGGATGCCAGTGAGAGACCCTCGCCGGAGGCGAGTGCCGAGGTACTGGATGGCGAGGCCGGACGCCGGGCCGGAGCCGAGCCCGACCACCATGCCGCTCTCCACAAACCTGTCCACCTGAGGCCAGGCCAGGCCAGCCACCGAGCTCGTCAGAATAATATACACATGATCCAAGCGTCAACGAGCTGATGGAACAGTGGAGAATCCCCTCACCGTGAGCTTGGCGGCGTCGAAGAGGCCGACGACGTCGGCGTCCGCGGCGGCCGCGCAGGTCACAGCACGTCTCCGGCTACGGCGGCGCACGGTGGCCGGTGCGACGTTGCCGATGCGGCGGGGGCGTGGGCACGGGCGGAGCCGCGCCGAAGAGGAGCTCACGCTTGCCCCGGCAACGGCGTCCATGGTTGGGCTGGTGCCTCAGCTTGCTGGCCTAGCGAGCTTGACAGTTGCATACATTGGATGGATGGCACATTGACGAAGCGGATAAGGGGTGCGAAGCAGGTGCAACACCAGCCTATTGTCCTTGTTCTCCTCAGGCCTCATATGCTCGGTTGTGGAGTCACCGATAGCTCTTTGCGGTATAAATACGTTCACTAATCGATTTGTACTCAATTTACATATTCATATGTTTTATACAATGGTAGTTTGTACTCAATTCACATATTCATATGCTTATACAATGGTAGGCTAGCATTTGAATATTGGGTTTTCGTTGCAATTGTACAGTGGGATTTTAGCATCAATAAAATGATTTAGGCTGCGTTTCCCAACACAGCTGCTGCACACGTCCAGAGCGATCGATTAGCACGTGATTAATTAAGTACTCCATCCATCCCATAATATAAGACGCACCCGTATTTGAAGATTAACCTTTCAAACATTTGACCAACACTTAGTTAATATAAAATATTTTTTATTTATTAAAAGTTATATTATTGGATTGAGATTTAAATTTACTTTCATACGGTAATAATTTTGTTGCTACAAACCTTATAGTATGTGAGAAATTATAAACTAAATATTAATTTTGGATGGAGTATTAGCTTTTTTTTTCAGAAATATATCAATATAATTTTTTTAAGCAACTTTCATATAAAAACTTTTTTTAAAAAATACACCGCAGTTTGAAATCATGACAGACAAACAGCATTTGAATATTAGGTTTTCGTTGCATTCGTACATTGGGTTTGAAGCATCACAGAATGATTTAGCAACATTTGCATATTGGATAACATGGCATGTAAATTATGTAAGTTTGAACGACTGAACAACTTTCCATGTAAATTGGATAACATGGCATGTAAATTGTAAGTTTGTAAGCTGCAAACCACTAATTATTCACAAAGCAGATTTGATAACGAAATCCGGCAGGCAGATAAAAGCACAGATCAGGCAAAAACCTCTTAAGCTCCATATTCAAGCAAATAAAACACTCGGCAAAAATATGAACGATTCTTCAATACATAATCAGTATCTTGCAGAGCAAAAAAAAAGAGACATTTTCCAAACCACGTTACCACATATCAATGCTGCATTGTTCAATACTTTAATCCAATATCAGGCAAGAGCAAGAAAGCATTTCAAAAACACAAAGCAGATACAACACATCTAACAAAGATCAAAAGGACAGGTAAAGGTACTTCAAATCTCATAAACTTTCATAAAGCGAATTATGGTCATCACATTACATAATACTCCAGTCTAGGAACATAACCAGAGACATTTCAACAGCTAGAATTAACCAAAACCAGAAAAGGTTTCACATTCCTACACCAATAACTGGAACATCAAGAATCCGAAGGCACCATCAATCCAAATGCACCGGTCAACATGATGTAAGAAGACATCCACACTACTGATAACGACTACTTGGATCTCTGCCTCATCTTTCGGCGCTTCCTCTTGAGCCTCCTCATTCTCTTCTTCTTCCACTGCAGATTAGCAAAGGCTCAGAACAAAGCATCGACGGTATCCATAATTAAGTGTAGTAGTTGAATAAATTAACATGCAAGCAATCTATCTCGTGTGGATAGAAGTAATCTATCTCATGAGGATAAAAGTTTTGGAATCAGAAGTATGAGTGCTTCATTGTAGTTTCATCACGAGATGATCAGAAACACGGACCAATGGTTCTTCATCATGTTCCATAAAACGATTAATTTTGTGGTAGTCATACAGCATAGAGCCTTGACTGAATCATGTTCATGATTTAGCAAGCAGAACACTAACGTACTGACTAACGTACATATGAAAAGAAAGAAACAAATGTACAGGATTTGGCATTCAGAATGAGTAGGAGGAATTTATCATCAAATAGATCAGATAAACGTAAGGTTTCCTCATCATGCCAATACAGTATCATAAAGAAGAATCACATACAGAACAAAGGAAAATCGGCAAGAAAATAAATAAAATGTTCTCTCAGACAAATGCCTCGATTGTCCCCATGGTTTAATGGAATGGATTAGATCGGACTCGTCATCTGTGTGTTCATCAAGGAGAACCGCATCCAGAAATATAACAATTTAGAACACCTACTCCTATAGTACACACGAAGATTGCTAGCGAAAGAAACATTTTTACAGCTATATAGCAGTAGTAGCAGAAGAAGAAAGTTAAATCGCGCAAGCGCGACACGCAATGCAATTCTCTCAGACAAATGCCTCGATTGTCCCCATGGTTTAATGGAATGGATTAGATCGGACTCGTCATCTGTGTTCGTCATCACGGAGAATCGCAAGCCACAAAATAAACCAACAACAATTTGCACATCCCAAAACCTCAAATCGAACGCACAAAGTACAACAATTTGCACATACCACAACCTCAAATCGAACGCACAAAGTAACCCTACCACCAACGCTACATCGTAACATCTAGATAACCGAATCAGCACAGGTAACAAAGCGAAACGAGGCATGCGAACAGATCAAAAGGGAAAGGATGAACGCGGTAACGAACCTTGGCCCTCATCGCGGCGGCGGGGACGGCGAAGCACTCGCTCTCTGTCCCTTCTCTCTCGACGTCGGCGGCGGCGGATTTGTGGAGGCGGCGAACCGGGTGAGATGGTGGCGGCGAGGTCTCTCTCGTCTTATTTATAGAGCTAAGGGAACAGCGGAAGGGAGAAACCCTAACCAGGCGTGAGCGATGGACGGCTCAGATCTTCCGCCCAACCCGGGTTCTACTCCGATTAGGGCTTTATTTAATGGGCCCAGAAAAAAGGCTTTACCATCTTATTAGGCCCGGCCCATGAAAACTATCAACAAAAGTGAGAAAAGCTTTTGAGTCAAATTCAACGCGAATTCATAAAAACGATAGATTTGTGCCTCGTTTTACAGGACATATGGAAATTTTAAAAGGGTGTAGTTATATTTATGGCACCATATTTTTCATCAAAAAATAGTCGGCATGTATTTATATTGTAAGTCCCTAAATTACATATGTAATTTTAGTGTATTTACAATGTAAGTCTCAAAATTACATATGTAAGTACTAAAATTATATATGTAAATTTGAAAATTATATATGTAATTAGTATGTAAATTCGTAAATGAGGTGTAACTACTGTATAAATGGCTGAAAAAAAATCGACTGTATAGCATATAGCGTCATATTTATAGTAACTCCGTTTTAAAAACTCAAGGATTCATTTCGTGTAGAACTAGAACTACGTGGTGTGCCACGTCATCGATATTGGCTCAGTTGATGACTTGGCTGGCGGCGCTCGGGTCCGCGTCGCCGTCGGCGCCGGCGCCGGCGGGGGGATCCGGCGCGTACTGGCCGGGCGCCGCCGGCGAGCCCCAGCCGATGGGCTTGAATGGGATGCCGGGGAGAGGCATGCCGAGGCCGGGCATCCCGGGGAACAGCGGGAACGACGGGATCGTCGACGGCGGCAGCCACCACTTCATGCTGTCGCTGCCGGCGGCGCTCCCCGCCTCGGCCGCCGGCCCAGGAGCCGGCGCCGCCGCGTCCGCATCCCCCGCGGCGTACGGCGTCGACCCGGCGTCGACCGGCTCGAACTCCAGGTGGCTGATCTCGTTCTCGTAGTCGTCCAGCAACGGGTCCAGCGGCTCCGTCTCGTCGGCGGCGGCGGCCTTGGAGCCGAAGGCGAAGCCCTGGCCGAAGTCGCCGTCGACGTCGTGGAGGATGCGCAGGCCATGGCCGGAGACGGCGAGCAGGAGGAGGCAGACGAGGATGGACAGCTTCTTCTCCATGGCGTTCCTCCTCTTTGGCTTTCTTGGCCTCCTGCAAATGAGGAGACGCGTGATGAAACCATCAAATCCATCGAAGAAATTATAGCTTGGCAGCAATGGAGTTAGGTTGGATCATGGTGACCTGCATTCTCATTTCAGTATGATAATCTGATAGCTCCAGGAATTGAGAAATGGCATGTCGAAGGTGTGCATTGCCACCTAAACTGCATCCGCATCGTTGAGTATTTGGTAATCTAGTATGATATGCAAATAGATTTCACTGCACATAGGCTTGAATCAACAACCTTGATGGATCCGCATCTGTTCAGCATTGCAGCCTTGGAGCGGATTTTGAACACAGCCTGACTGCCTGAGATAAATTCAGAACAGCAACACAACATACTGATCCAAAGTTTTGTACGTTCCATTGTCTCTATTCTTTATTCTTATACCCTGTTCTTTTCTCCAACTAAAGTTGGATTAAATTTTGGATACTCATGGCACGCTTTTTAAACTACTAAACGGTGCGTTTCGTGTGAAAACTCTCTGTATGAAAGTTGCTCTAAAATATCATATTAATCTATTTTTCAAGTTTAGAATAATTAAAACTCAATTAATCACATATTATTACAACCTCGTTTTGCGTGAAACACTTAATCTCCATCTTCATTTTCATCTTCAGGACATTCAAACACCATCATTAATGTTCCTCTTCCTTTTCTCATTTGCCCTTGTTCATGCAACTTTGTAACTTATCATTTCTATCAATGAAATGGCTACAAGGTAGAGCTGTCTCTACATTCTTATGTCAAAAAAAAAAAGATCCAGAGTTCAGAATTCAATGCTATCATATTATTCAGCAGTCAATGTCCATGAAGCCCCTGATATCAGTAGTATCATGATGGTGATCTCACTATTTTCTAATTTCTGCAAACGAATTATGGTGATCTCACTAATTCATTGTTTTGCTGAGCTCCACTAGTGAAAAGAAGGAAATTAATTGAGCCACTTGAATAACACTACATAACAGAAGAAATGCAGGGCAGAGCAGTTGAAATATTAATTCAGATTGCAGCAAATGAGCGCCCCATTCAGGAAAGCACACAGCTCTCAGATGACAACTGACAACCAATGTCTGCAATACGCAACTGAGCATGGTACAAATTCTTGATTCATTCCACTGATGAAAACCCAGCTAATCTATGATTTCAGTTCTTAAAACCCAGACAATCTACTCGCTCTTCTTGAACTTCATGTTCCCCTTCGGTATCTTGCTCAAGACACCTTGATCAAGTTTCTGATACTGGTCACGCAGGAGGCCAAGAATATTGTATAGGAAATCATCAACTTGATCTTCATACTTCTCGTAGAGCACGGGCAGCGTGTGAGCGCTAACAAATCCTGTTCCAGTTAATCAAATGTGAAATATCAGTGACATCTGTCACTAATACAGTGGACTGCGTACATTCAGAAAATAGTGACAACATGAAATTTCTAAATTTCAGAGGGAGAGAAAGATCTTGTCATGGAAGAAAGTTTGAAGTAGCAGTCTCTTACCAATGTAAATGACAGTTAAGAAATTGCACCAGCCCCCAATAACAGCCGCAGCCCACAGTCCAACGATTGCCTGAAAGGAACCATAGTTTGACACAGGCATAAAGGTCAGTGATAAACAAACAGAACAATTTTGTTTGCATATTCAGGGTTTGATTCTTTAGTCTTTACCAGTTTAATCTATTCATGATGTTTATGGAGTACATAAGAACCTAAAGAAGGTCCACATACCAGTACAAAGTGCTTCAGGTTTCTTTCACAAGACACATCCTGAAGAAAACTCAAGAACTTATTTACTTGGGTACCAACTGCAACTGCAATGTTCACAAACAGCTCTTCTGGCAGCTCAACACGGGGTACTTTAGAAGGAGATCTAAAAAGTGGCAAAAGACATTTTTTATGACAACATGAAGAATTATTAGGGGACACACTATTCAGATGCTTTGTAAATTCCATACCCGCTTAGAGCACTTGAGAAATTGGACCACACGAACTGGACAACCATTCCAAGGACAAGGGCAAATGAAACAATTGTTAGGAAGTGGTAGTCGAGCCACTCAAAGAATACCCAAATTGCTGTTGCAAGAGCCAGGACACTGGAGGATATCTTCTTGTTCCTCCATAGCAACACATCAGCAGCTACAAGCACAGACAGAGCATCACACATGGCTACACATCAGCAGCTACAAGCACAGACAGAGCATCACACATGGCTACACAAAGGAAACATTATAAAAATATAAGAAGATTACATACGCTTTCCACCACCCAGAACTCGATGAATGGTCTTCTGACGACCAAACAGCTTCTCCTTCATTTTGTCAGAGGCAGCGCCTACGTCAAATTTCCCAGATTTCTGCTTAGGAAGGTTCTCAGCAATGGTATCCATGATGCTGCTCATAATTTTTTCTGTTGCACTCTCCGAATGTTCCAACATCTTGTCGTACCTCACTGCAGAGCACAAAGATAAGTTAGGCAATATGATACTAAATCATATCATGAACATAAATACGAGAAGAAAGACCAGTGAAATTCCAACTTTCCAAGACATGTGCAAGTCTAACTAAAATTAGGGCCAATGTGCTTGATTGACTGAATTCATTGGGACTACACATTCAACATTTCAGGCTAAAGCATATACAAAGACTCAAATTTGTTATCACTTGTTAGGATACCCATTCCGACTAGTAGCTTTAGTCCCCAGAATTCTCAAGTCTCAATAGTCTCGACTAGTAGCTTTAGTCCCCAGAATTCTCAAGTCTCAATAGTCACCAGCTCATGGAGCAATCTTCTTTTTTTTCTCGACTAAAGCTTCTTATCAGAACAACTTAAGATAGTCAATTCAGATTTCAATCATGCAATTTGACAAGCATTTCTTTAGAAAAACATTTTTTTTGAAACATGTCACGCAAAGAAAGGAAGACATTGGATCGTTTTTCATCTAAATCATTTATAGCCATATACTCTTTACAAAGTAAAGTGCTAGCTGAATCTGTTTGCTACAGTACAGCGAAATTGGGGGAATCGAATCGAGTACCAAAACAAGCGTACCGTAAAACAAAAACAAAAGTACCGAAATCAACCCATAAAAATCACAGATTATTAACCAAAACTATCTCCTTGAATGAAATCTGCCCAGACCAAGACCCAGGCTGACCGATCAAACATCAACCAAAAAAACCTTCGATTTCTGGCCTAAGAAAACATCATATACCTTAAAGAAGCATAATCAGAAATCAGAAATGATCTGGTACGGTTCCTCACCTAATAGCAAAACCGTCACAGAATCACAGCATTCATGATAAGACAACCACCTCTAAAATCCCAACCAAAAAAAAACAGACACACGAGCAATCAAATCAACCGCTCTGCAATCAACCCCCAATCACACAATCTAAAAAACCAAACCACGCCCTTTCCCCCAATCTTCCGAACCTATATTAAAAAAACAAATCTACCTTTTCGTTCAGTGGAGTCCCCAAGATTCTCCCTTCCAACAAAAGGCTAGCCAAAAAAGAAAAGAAAAAGATTCCACCTCCACATCGCCACACATAGCGACCATCAGAGCTCGAAACAACCAAGAACAAGGTCTCAAACAGATCATACCCAGGGGAGACACAGCAGCAGATGAACGAAGAGACGGAGAAGCCCTCGGCTCTCGAGCTTCTTGGAGACGAACGAGGCGAAGAGCAAGAGCAGGTATTCAAAGTAGGAGTAGTAGTAGTAGTAGATGGGGAAGTGTTCTTCAAGGGGACTAGTAGCAATTTTATTCCAGTGGTGTGGGTGCGCGGCGTGTGATCTGATTTGCAGCCTGTGCAGTGCTGCACTGCGGGTCCCACGAGCAGGTTATCTGCTACGTGTACGCGTGACCGCTACGGGTTGTTTCACTTACAGGTGGGCCATAGCGGGGGATATTCATGGTGGGGCCCACGTGCAAGAGAATGTCACGATCTCGAGTAGGAAAGGAAAAGAAAAGTGGTTGCATGGAGCACGAGGGAAGTGTGGTCCATTCCGAGGATATTTTTCGAATTTATTATTGGGCTTGTTTGTGTTGAGCAAATCGCCATGTTGCCTGTTGCTGATTCGAAAATAATTGCTGAATTGTTCGCTGGGGCCAAAATATATATGAGTTTAAGCAAAATTTACACTCCACGTGGGTGCCATTGTTCAAAAAAAAATTGAAGAAAAAAGAGTTGAATGATTGAGTCGGCAACTGCCTAGATATATAGAGCACGTGGGCAACTAAAAGTAACCACAACCTGCTTTGTAAGTCGTTTTGATTTTCTTAAATCAATTAAGTTTATACAAAAGTATAGTATTCTCTTCATCTTAAAATATAAGAACATAAAATTAGATGGGATATTTTGATACTTTTCTAGTACTACATATCTAAATAGACTATGTGTAGATTAATTTGTGCTTTTCCTTAAACACGTTCACGTCATTGTATTGTACTATGATCTGAAAAATGTGTTTTTGTGGTTTGCTAAAAATGCCTTTTGATATGATTATCTAAAGATATTTATCCTAATACTATGACGCACTAAAAATGGTACTATTGTGGACTAGGTTCTCTCAAACATATTCTTTTTTATGTGTGCTCTAGTCCAAAGTGCAAACTAGTGTAAGCACGTGTGGTGTTAAGTGAGCACTTAGGTTTAGCCCTTGTACATTATAAAATTATGCTCGAAATATATGCCCAATGTAAAATTTACTCTTATAAATTTGATAAACTTCACAATCCATGACAAAAACAATGGCCCTTGAGGCCTTACCTCCTTGCATCATTAATTGGCGCACAATCAAAACACCATGGCTCTCTTTCTATGAAAGATTCTGGATTTTCAAACTCATGAACAGTGCATTTCATGTAAAAAAATCTATATAAAGGTATCTCCTCTGATCTTCATAGAACAAAATTTCAACTTTATAATAGTTGATTTAGTCATTTATATACCCTAGAATAGTGAGCTGTCACAAAACCAGATAATCCACTCAATTAGACAATTAGAAGATAAAAAAAGCTAAAAAAATATGGGTGGCTAGTTTGGTAAACATAGAATGGCATTTTGCCAGACTCTTTTGGCAAGAGAAAGGTTTGGCAACTTCCGCTTGAACTGGCCGAAGTTGTAAGCAATTGAAGCCTCCCAACAAGATCATCCTATCAAAACTCCATTGGAAAGCCTGCAACTGTTTTTTTTATATTAAAAAAAAACTCCATTGGAAAGAGTCAGAAAAAGGCCTGGCTACAAAGCACCCAAAGGCTGGATCATTGGGCCGGGTCACTGGCTGCGGTTGGACGGACAGTGGGCCTCTGTTGCCGTGTGGGGTGGGCCGGACCGTGGGCCCATGCAGTCACTCCATACCCGGACGGACGACGCCTCCGCCGCCCGCCGCCTCGCCTGCGTCGATCGATCTCCATCGCCGCCGCGCTACCATCGTTTCCGGCGTCTGCTGCTTCCGCCGCATATCCTCGCTCGATCGCTGGCTGGTGAGTATCCATGCATCCCCTCTTTCTCGAATTTGCATTAGTCCTAGCTAGGGTTCACAAACTATGTGTGTCGCTTGACATATCTAGGGGTGGTACTCATCCTGACATATCACATATGCTCTTTGATTTGTGCTAGAATCGTGTGCCAGGCTAGCTTAGATTGTTTCAGATCTGTGTTGAAATTGAGAACAATGCTACATGTTAAATTGAGGGATAAGTTTTTTTTTTCTGATGAAGTTGCGTGCTTGTACAAATTAGTCTTGATTTTCACCGCACCTGAATTTCATTTCTCAAACGGAAAAAAAAACTCTGTACAAACGACGGGCAAGGCTATAAATTATTCTCGATTGATTATACCCTCTCTAGTCATTGCTCGTTCCTTGCTGTTATTGATTAATAGCTCAAAAATAATCCAGATTTTTCACCCTTCTCCACTGAATGTCTAGTTACTTCTCCTTTTCAGTGTCAGTCAGGCTACGGTACCAACGAATTAAGAGATTTAATTTAAGTCGCTCATCTGTTCTGTTGACATGTGCAATGAATTATTCTCTTTCCTTGATTGGACAGACCTTCAGGTCAACGAAGTGTGAGTGTTGAAGATGAGTTGTCAGAAGTTCAGCCGTCAGTCTCTGCACTTGGCGTTGAACGAGGGGCGCGGCTTGTACTCGCTAAGGCACATGGACGTATCAAAGCTCTTCTACCCATCAATGGCAGAAGCACTGGAAGCAGAGGCTAAAGCGAAGAAGAAGAAGAATGGCGCCAACAAAATCCGGAGCATCGGCCGTTTGCCAACACCGAGCATACACTACCAACCACATGTGTCGGCTACGTCTAATCCATACAATTTCACTAATGTGTTTGCTCTCTTTGGTGAGAACAAGAACAAGATCCTCTTCTCAGACATGGAAGGCCACTCCAGCACCTACAACACCGAGTTGCATTCCTTCATGATCATGCCTGATCTGAATTCACCCAAGGGACCCAATTGTTTGGCTGCTCATATCACCCGCACTGCTGCCCACGCAAGGTATGACTTTGATATCCGGCCTGATGTGGACTACGATTTCTTTGCCTATAATCCCCATGGTGAGCACACTGACAGCCTCTACTTGATGGACATGGACCAAGGCAAACCAAGCTCCTTTGAACTGCTTGCATACTATCCTGTGGGGGAATGGCAATGGTGCTCACTCCCATTGCCGCCGTTCTTTGATGACCCGGAGCACAAGGCCTGCAGCAACATATCCTACGCAGTCATCGATGGTACCCGAATCTGCATATCATCTGCCACTGCGACCTACTCTTTTGACACAGTGGCCCTCGAGTGGAGCAAGATTGGTGATTGGGTGTTTCCCTTCCACGCCAAAGCCGAGTACATTCCTGAGCTCAAACTATGGCTTGGCCTGTCAGCTAGCAGTCCCTCTGACCTGTGTGCTTTGGACCTCTCCACTGCTGCCATGGATTCTTGTGATGTGCTACCCATGGTGCATCATGTTGGGCTTGATGCTGACCTTCCTGAGGGTTGATCGCTGAAAAATCGTACCCTGGTGAACCTGGGCATGGGCCGGTTTTGCATTACCATGTTCTTCCATACTGCAGATGACGGTCCTCAGGTGATCGTCTTCACCGGTGTGGATGTCGTGCCCTGTGGTGACAATCAACAAGGGGGGCAGGCCCTCCACAGGATCAAGCACAAGTCCAAATGCCTTGTCACAGACAGGATCGAGCATGTGCTATGAATTGTGATCGTCGATGCTCTCATCTAGAGATGGCAATGGGGACCCATAACCCGAGACTCGACGGGTTTTTATTTTATTAGGAGCTAATTGTGTTCTAACTCTTATACCAAATGTTTTACCGTTCATCTTATTCAAAAACTTTTGTGAAATATGTAAAACTATATATATACATATAAATATATTTAACAATGAATCAAATGATAGGAAAAGAATTAATAATTACTTAAATTTTTTGAATAAGACGAACGGTTAAACATATTTAAAAAAGTCAACGGCTTCAAATATTTAGAAACGGGGGGAGTATTAATAGCACTGTTGCTAGAGAAAATAGTGATGGTTTATAACTCTAATATGGCCAATTATAGTACAAAACTTAGGCTGTGTTTAGTTTCTGAAATTGGGGAGAAGTTTGGAGAAAGTTATTAGTTTTGAAAAAAAAGTTAGGAGTTTATGTGTGTAGGAAAGTTTTGGATGTGATGTGATGTGATGAAAAGTTGAGAGTTGAGGGGAAATTTAGTGTGAACTAAACACACCCTTAGCCCGAATGATCAAGCACAAGTCCAAACGTTTCATCACTCACATCAAGTTCGTACTCTGAGGTCATCGATTGATCCTCATTTATCCATGTTTAACCTACTGGGAGAAGTAGGTTCAGAGCCAGTAGGAGGACAAATACTGCACGCAGTGATTTTGCTTTAATGTGCCATCTACTCACTCCGTCCCAAAAAAGACAAACACTGGATTTCCGTGTTCAACATTTAACCGTCCGTCTTATATGAAATTTTTTTATAATTAGTATTTTCATTGTTGTTAGATGATAAAACATGATTAATACTTTACTAGTAATATGCCCGTGCTAACGCTACGATGCTATTATTGTTATTTTATAAAAATATTAGAACTTCATGTTAGGGCAAATAATTTTCGCACAATCCTCTCAGATTCAATGTCGTATATGAATTTAAAGTAGGCAGATAACAATAATATGATTTGCTTGAAAATAATAATCCATAACCATCGATTACTTCAATATACAATATACGTGAGCAATATATGTGGACACTATATGTCCACATAAAAAAGACAAAAAATGGTAGAGAATTATTCCATTAATTTGCATACAAACATGATTAATACTTTATATGTGACTTGTCTTTTTAATTTTTTTCATAATTTTTTCAAATAAGACGGACGGTCAAACGTCCTTGTTTCTCTGCCGATAAAACTTAATATATGTGCCATCTATATTTATGTTACTGTTGTACTAGTTTTTATTTTTTTTGGTCGTAAGAACTATGTATATCTTAGCCCTTGTTTCTCTGCCAATAAAACTAAAGCTATAGATCAAGTGTGGCGTCTGCTCAGAGATTGGCTGTGAATGGCATTCCCGCTTCCAGAAGAAGGGCCTATGGAGTTTGGGGATTGGTGGCTGAAATCTATTAGCCGATTTCGGACGTGCTACAGGGGGCTTTTGATTCCCTTTGTCTCATGGTGTATTGGTTCATTTGGAAAGAAC